GTCGGCAAAAATACGTAACTAATATTCGAGAATTTTATTATTAGTTACTTTAAAGTGCACTCTGTTTTGGTTATGATGAAGAGAGAAGATTCTAAACGATAATTGGTCAGTTGCGCTAGTAATAATATCTTGGTTTCATGATTTAAGCTTGATGATTAGTAAGAAATAATTAAATTCGTCCGAACGCCAATCTTTTACGTCCAATACTAACGGAGATATCGCTCATCGAAAAACACGGCATTTGTCGTCATCCATCGCGGCGCCAGGCCCGCCACATCCCATCTCTTGCCTAATTGGTACCAGTTTCCTAGCCCGGGCCCCTAGCATAGAGGGGGGGGGCGGGGGGCCTCTCCTGGGAAATTTTTGAAATTATAAATCTATTTGGACGCATTTTGAAGCTCTTATGATGGAGATTTTCCATCAATTTCTGCAGAATAATTACGCCTTTTTTTACTTTCAGCACGAAACACTTTCGAATTGCTGCATTTAAAATATATATAAAGTTTTTTTTGAGGGGAGCAGATGATACTTTTCAATTCTAGGGGGAGCCGAGCCCCCCTCGACTCCCCTTTTGTACGTCCATGGCAAGGGAGTTGAGCCATTGAAGTCGCGGATGCCCAGACAGGAGCCTCTTAGCATCCGACAACGGAAGAAAATGAAACGCAGTTATTAAAAATATCATTCTACATATACTCAAAATCTTGAAATTAGATAGAAATCTCAAAAAAAGTAAGAAAAATTGTATAATGCCCTAGCGTGTTTTTGAATCTTTATTCACCTTTTGCGGAATTTTAAGGGTAATTTTTTCACTTTTCCTTACGAGACAAGGGTTACACATGAATTCGTGGTGGTTTGTCACCTGCGTCACGGGCCCCTCCAGAGCCCGGGCCCCGGTACCAAGGACCCAGTATCCCCCCCCCCTTGTGGCGGGCCTGCGCGGCGCACAGTGGATCGAGTCAATGCGGAAGAGGTCGGACGAAATTTGAAACCTTTAAAATGTGACTAATTAGACATCAAACGCAGTATTGGTTAAAAATTTCATGTCCGGCCTCTCTGATTGACTCGATCCACTGTGCGGCGGTTCGGTGGTGCACATCATGGTCTCTCTCGCCTTAGAGTCATCAATGGACAACTAGATAAGGTACGAATTCCAGCATTCCGATGCATGTTTCTTGACTAAAATTTCACGTAAAACACGATGCGCACAACAAAAATTACCGAAATCAACTCCTTACGAAGATATTTAATGATTCTTGATGCGTGAATTGAAACCACCCGCTCATGAAAACTCAATGCTCTACGTGATTCACATCGCGCGTTAAACGTTATTATAAACGTCTCAGCGATATAAAAATCTGGCAACCTCAATCTTGACGCTTTGGCTCAGTTATAGCAAATTGCTAATAGTTTGAACAACACATGGTGGGAAATGAACATTGATCGATTGAGAAGATTGCTGAAACCGTTGTAGTGCGCGATTTGACTCACGTAGAGCTTTGAGTTTCTTGTGAGCGGGCAGTTCAAATTCCTCGTAACCATTGTGAAATAAAAATGTTAATAGCTTCGTTAGGAGTTGGTTTCAGTAATTTTCGTTGCGCGAATCGTGTTTTACGTGAAATTCTGGTCAAGAAACATGTATCAGAATGCTTAAATTCGTACCTTGTCTAGTGGTCCATTAGTGATACACACATTCTTCAAAGGTTGCTCGCCGTAAAACACCGATGAACCCAGGGCGGAGGAGACCATGGTATGCACTACCGCGATAAATGACGTCATACATCTTGTTTATCGATAATCGATATTTCCGTTAAGAGTGGACAAAAAAAACTCGGCGTTTAAAAGGATCTATTACTATGGTATAAGCTCCGAGACCTCCTAAAATTGCTTAATGGTAACGCATAGTTCCAGCGTTCCACGGGGCCAATTTTCATGATTTTTGCGGCTGTCGACAGGAAATTGTCCCTACATGAGCCCGCTCTATTCAGATCTTGAAAATATGACCCAGGTTTCTTACATTACGAGGTAAAGTTGCGAATCCTTCCATTTAAACAATGTAAATTTTTATTTTTTGTCACAGTTCGTTCGAGCATTCTACTGAGACGATTTTCATGATTTTCATTGCGACAATCGATAAGTGACAGCCCCTAGATGAGCCAGCTATAATCAGATTTTGGAAACAGAACCCACATTTTTTTAAATAAGAGTAGACCAAAGTGCTTCGAAAGGGGGACAAAATTTGAAATTTCGGCCAATCAAAAATGGCGGGAATTTCAAATTTAGAGGAAAATTGAACGGAGCGGAACAATAGAAGCATTTAGTATGACGTCACATCTCGTTATAATGTCGATACCTCGAAAGTCGAAACGTGCCCCAACAAACGAACATGGAGGAATCTGCGGGATATAGGCAGGGGGGGGGGGAGGGTTATTCGCTCGATGGCTGTCTATGATATTACGAGTTTATTTTACAATCAATTCTTGTGATTGTGATCTCAAACGTTTTGGTAAATGAGTAGCTTTCATAATTTTAAAGTCCCATGGATTAATTGTTTGGTTTCAGGCTAGTTTTAGCATTATTTCGTCAATTGTTCATTTTGGAGGTTATGTTTGTTTGTTTGTTGGGACACATTTCGACTTTCGAGATATCGAACCACCAATATCGCTCCGTGACGTCACCACTAAAATCGTCTATTTGAATCTTGGTCTGTTAATAGGGTAAGGTAAAGGAATCGGAGATATGCTCCTTTGCTACATACTATCCAAAGTTTGAGCTATCCGAATGCTATCCGAAGTTTGAGATAAATGCCGATTTTAAACTTTGATTCTTATTCGTCCAATTGTACCCAGCCAGAGGGAGATCGGACCAATGAGAGTCGGGTATTAAAATCTTTTCATTTTCTTTGTCGTTCTTTTGTCAAAGCGCCTGGAGAGCGCGAAGCGCCCTCTGGGGATTGGGCCGCTTAGCGACCAGGGGGGCCTCCTGGTAATATTATGCTACTTCATAAGCTTAAACCATCGAAACACGATTCCGTGACCAGCGCGACGAACTGACCCATATTCGGACTATCTATCCTAAAAGGAACTATGTGCAAGTGGAAAGATGGGGTGTGCTCGTGGAAGCTGGATAAGAAACAATATGGTCAGTGGATACAGTTCCTTTTGAGAAAATGGAAAAGGTGGATTTTCAATTGAATGAAAAGGAACTGAGCGCTAACTCGTGAGTCGTGGGCATGTCATAAGAGCCTTGTGGACAGGGCTCATGAGTTAAAGACCGCCTCCCCGATCGTCGTTTCTCTCATCGTTGCCGCGGACGTCACTGGCGCTTTAAAATCCCCATTCATTTTTATGGCCCGACCACTAACGAGCACACCCCATCTTTCCACTTGCACAAAGTTCCATATAGCATAAACAGGGTAGGTACATCCTGTGACCGCTTCGCGATCTAACCCCCCCCCCCCCCCCCCGAAGTGCTTTGCGCTTCAGGCGGTATGCGTTTCACGCGTTGCCCTTATGACTTTCTGCGTAGAGTATGATTTGTTTTTATTTTTGTTTATTTTTTAGTGTTTTATTTTGCGGATGGATCTAGTTTCAAAGATATTTCCTCCCTTTAATTTTTTTCGAACCAATTGATACTTATTAATATTTCGCTCCGGATTTGAATTCCAAACTTCCCGCTTTGCGAATCGTTTTTTACGCGATCTTTTAAAGGGGAAATAAGTGAAGTTTTTTCTAGTTTAAACCTATCAAAAGCCCCAAAATGGCTGCCTTGAAAGAGCGAAATTTGTCGTGTCTAAAGAAAAAATTAGAGTTGACTGAGTGCCGTACAGTGGAACGAGTCATGTCGATCGATTCACGTTTTCATTTTTCGATCGATTCATGTCGATCGAATCGACACCGGTTTTTTAACAATTTGTCGATCGATTCACGTTTTATTTTTCGATCGATTCATGTCGATTGAATCCATACCCTCCAAAATATCGCTATCTTGACTGATATCAAGATGGCACTCGAATGCGATATTTTTCCTCTCAAAAAACCCCGCCTTTGTTATGTTGAATTTTTTTGTCAAAATTGGTTGGTGAACTCTTTGCTCCTGACAATAGAATTGCGATCTCATCAAAATTCGAGAAAAATTATTAATGGCTGAAAAAATGGAACGAATCGATCCTTGCCAGCCCATACCCCCCCCCCTCCCCCATGCCAAGCCTTGGCAGACCTTGCCAGCCCATGCCAAGCCTTGGCAGACCTTGCCAGCCCATGCCAGCCCATGCCAAGCCTTGCCAGACCTTGCCAGCCCATGCCAGCCCATGCCAGCCCATGCCAGCCCATGCCAGCCCATGCCAGCCCATGCCAGCCCATGCCAGTCCATGCCAGTCCATGCCAGTCCATGCCAGTCCATGCCAGTCCATGCCAGCCCATAAGGCGTCACCAATTAAGGTGGCAGCCCTGTCAATGTATTTGCTTCCTATCTTTGCATGGAGAGTTTGTCTTGGTGTAGAGGTGGACTGTCAGGATAGCGTGGGATATTCCCTCCATTTTGACCTCAACTTGAGAGCTTTTCTTGAGCTTGGGAGTTGATTTCAGAGAAAACTAGTGCCTTCATTGTGTTTCTCGCAAACTTTGACATAAAAATCAATTATCAAAATGCAAATCCCTCACACAATATGCAACATCTCCATTCGTGAGGGTGGCACAGTCCTGACGGCTTAGGGGCGGCCATTGATTCCGGGTACCAGTCATAAAAATTATTGAATCTGACTTTGCTTAAACGCATATCGCTGGATAGGCGTGGCGCAGGCCTTTCTTGCAAGGAACAGGGAGCACGAGGAATTTCATGAAACTTATTAGAACTCGAACCCGAAGGTTATCGTAACAAATGAGTCAAGCTCGGTCGCTCGCGTTGTCTATTATCGGGATAGGAGGAGTGGGACACCAGTCGCCGAGCACCAGTCCAAATAAATTAGCGTTCATTTCACGCACATTAACGAACGCGTTCCCATTACTTCCCGTCTAACCGCAGCCAAGGAAGCCTCTTGTGAGTGCAACACTTAGTAAAACCGTTTTCTTTTCGCTTTTTTCGCCATTGGTCCCCGAATCTTTGTACCGGTTTTCAAACAAGTTGAAACCGTCCAAATATGAACTATTTTTCACCTAATTATAATCAGTGCGCACTTCATGTTCACATTACATACATGAAGAAATTTCACCATATAGTTCTTGCCAAGTACGGAGACATAATTATACCTACTTACTTCTTGTGTAATCAAATCTGATTTTTAAAAGTGCGGTTGCGGTTTAAAAAAAGTATCTTAGTAAATTTATAACATATTCAGCTGATCGCTTATAGCTTCATGAATTTCTGATCGTTTTGGGAAAAAGTAGGTACTTATCTACTTCATCGCAAAAGTATATCTACTTAAGCTTTTGGAAGTTTCCTCTCAAAATTGGTGAGAGTGTGTCGGCGCGGGCGTGAAAATCAGTGTTAATTGAGTCATCAAATTTATTATTGGGCAGAACCCACCTGTACGGAACGACATGAATCAGTAAGTCGATTAATTCATCACTGAACAATAAGTATATAATGAATTTTAGGACACGTGCTCCATTACCTCGCTGTTTTCTCTCATAATGCATCTCTGGCCCGTTTCCTTATTATTTCCTTCATGGATCAGATTAGACTTTAGTAGTTCGCGCTTTTCTGTTTTAGTTTTTCCTAAGTACCTAATCAACCTCTTCCTTTTCTCCCTTTTCTTTTCCCTCTTTGTCTTTCACTTCATTCTAGTTTCCTCTCTCTCCTTTCTCCAGCGAACACATAACTGCGCTACCGGCACATACCTAAGTAGCACTTCCAGAACATATTTACTATTAAAAAAAAATATTGATACGTATAATTACATCTTTAATTACAGGAAAAAAACATTTACTTGGAAAAATTCAAATACATTGTTTTAAAAAACTCGTAAGTATCTGGTTTCTCAAGTATACGGCAGGTTGCGATAAATTACGATCACATGGTTTAATTGTCCCTGCTGCATTGGAGGGTCATGTATGTTGCCTATCTAATGATCGAAGGGGCTACTTTTATTGTATAATAATAAATTGAAATAAATTTCATTTTTTTTTTGGCATTGCAACTTTCCTATCTCTCTGATACGTGAACTCATTTTATTAATCTTTTAAAATCGGCGTATATTGATAAAATGATGTGAACTTAGGTATGTTGCAATTTCATGGGAAAACTTGAAGATTTTATTGGATTAAATTGCAGGTATTTTCATTGCACTGTACTACTTAGGATGTATACTCTTAATATTAATCAATTTACAATTTTTCCTTTTCGCAATGACTCTACTTCGATGTAAGTCGTAAATCGATTTACATATTTATCTTACAGGTGCTAATTATACTTTGAGAGGGTTTTTCCCTTTTTCTTGAAACTTTGGTCAATATCCTTAACTAGCAGAGTAGGTACTTAATAATGTATACATAAGTGCGAGAGAAATTGCACCGAAAAATTGTGGAATCCAAAGAAAAAATAACTCTCCCTATATCTTATCCACGTTTTCTTAATTTCATCCACTGAGTACATTCAGGCGCCGATGAAGTTTCATTGCATGATTTTTCAGCGAGCAATACCTACCAAATCTAGGTGAGCACGCTAAATCAGCTCATCATACCTATCATTTCGCGATCGGACTTAAACTGAACGCACAGGCCTACGTCTAGACCAAACAGGAAGATTAGAAAAATAGGAGAGCACTATTGTGTGAATGTTGGTCAAGGTTAGTGCAACGATTCAAGGACGAGGTCATTTTAGACTTAGACATAAGACATGCACGCACAGAGAACGATCTCAAATTACTTGCTTGATGAACCAATGATTTGCTTCTCACGCAGTTTAAATGGATTCGGAAGGGGTATTTTCGCCTGAAACCCGGCCTACATATGGTCGAACTAGCACCGAGAAAGTTGGAAGGCCGACCAGACCATCTAAGGGCCCATTTATGGAAGATCTGATCTCCTTTCAAACGATATTTACAGCTGAAATTGTTTAAGTTTTTGAACAAAAAATTATCCGGTTAAGAACGGACTAATTTTTGGAGCCAAGTGTCGACCCAATGATTATTATTAATTTGTTCTAGTTTGACACCATTGCCTCGTTCATAAGTTTTTACTTAGGATCTATATTTAATTTTGATAGCGTTATAGGTATTCGACTTCTAAGAGCAAACCTCTCTCCTGCCCTGCATCTTTAAGATTTTCCATACGCCAATTTCAGAATTTCAGAAGAGAGAGGTTTTCGGGATTTCTGCCCTCCTCCTCCCCGTAAATTTTGCCGCATCTCAAGAATCTTCATCCCCCCCCCCCTTGATTCGGAAAAAATTAGGAGCCAGCATTGTAAATTCTTAAAAAAAGTGATCATCGCCTGGCCTCCCTTTCGAGCCACTTCTCCTATCTGGCCCTTACATGTCAACGTTAATTACTGAGGTTAAGCTCCACTTTTATTTTCCATAGAGAAAAGAAGGAGGTGTTTGCATTGCGGGCATCTTGGAATTTTTTTGATGAAGTAGGTCGGTACAGCGACTTTTATCATCGATTTTCTTGGAAATGGTTTAATTTATGTAATGTAAAAAACTTATTCTATAAAAAGCGCTTGAAATTATATCATGAGTTGATTAAAGCAAAAAAATGGGACGTTATGGTCCCGTTTTTCATCCTTCGAATTCCGGATTTCGCTGGCCAGGTTGCACCGACCTACGTCATAGGGTAAACAAACCTCAAAATGCAAACACCTCCTTTTTTTTCTCTATGTTTATTTTTAGTCGATACCAGGGCCGGATTTGCCTACTTGCCGCCCATGGGTCGCCTGTATTTTGCCGCTCCCTTCTCATTCGTATTGAAATATCAATAAAAACCATCAAGTGAACGTGCCAGCGGGGGAGGGGTGCATAAGACGCGTTTACTCGTGTTGAACACATTTTTTGGGGATGCCCTGTCAACACTACTAGCAAAAGTTAAGTTTTGTAAACCTATCTCTGTGTGGACAAGGCCTTCCATTCATAAGAAATGAACGAAAAAATTATGAAAGAACAAACATGAATGTGGTTCAATGATTTTAACTTCCGCCGCCGCGCCGCGCAGACCGCACCGTGTTTGGCGCAATGCGTGAAGTATTCACGCAGTTTTGTAGGCGCCATGCGTTTCTCGCTGACCGCACTGTCTTTGGCGCAATGCGTGAAGTATTCATGCATTATTGTAGGCGCTATCCGTTTTACGCTGACCGCAATGATCGCACTGTGTTTGATGCAATGCGTGAAGTATTCATGCAGTCTTGTAGGCGCTGATATGTGTTACATGCCGATCGCCGCGCCAATGGATTCTCCCTTTCATCTCAAGTCCTCGTCATCATTGCTCTCTGCTCCAGGCCAAATTGCGTGTTTGGTTTCTCTCTGAACTCGACTTTTTGAGGGTGCAGTCTCTTGTATCACTGAAAGACGACAAAATTAAAAATTACTAGACTCGCAGGAAATGAGAAATTTTGTCGCCTTTTCTCGTTTGTATTTTTTTTTTCTAAATACGATATTTTTTTATACCTGTATTTAAAAAAATTGCAAAATTTGCCGCCCTCTAGATTTGCCGCCATGGGCCGCGACCCATGTGGCCACCCCCTTAATTCGGCCCTGGTCGATACTCATATATGCGCTTGATTTTACCTCCGGTTTCCCTCTTTTCGATGCGCATCACAATTCTTACAAATGTCTAAGAGATCTGACACAGGATCATGGAGCCGTGGGTGTCCATATGCTGCCGCGACGACGCAGACAGCCGTAACTCTCGAATTTTCGAAAACGAGTTTCCTTCAAAATTCGTCCACTTCAATTTGAGAAACTGAAATCACGGATGCAACTATAGGAGCAAAATTCGTCTTCTTTGTATAAAAGCGAGACCTATCAAATAGCCGTAATTACGGAAAAATTGACATTGTTTCTGACAAAACAATTTTAAGGTGCATCATTGTACCATATAGGCTTGATCTAAATCATTACTTTCAACAAGGACCCTAGATTCTGTTAATAACCTCTAGCGCCCCCCCCCCATCCCTGGCCCGCCTTCGCTTCCGCGCGGGTGGGCGATGGGCTGCCGCATTTTTGTACTTCGCGGGCAACAGCCGAGATTCAGTCTTGGCGGGAAGCTTGGATGGATTTTTATTGGTCCGCGCATACCAACAAAAACAAACGACCATAACCTACATCATTACATCACTTCGCCCGTCTGGCCAGTTTTTTACTTTTTTATCGCAATTCGCGAGTTCTTTCTCTCTTCTCGAGTCGCTTATTTTGCAATTTCGAAATCAGCCATCCAAATGCCAGCAATCAATTAAGAAAATTTACGACATTGATTCAAAAGCCATCTCGGGAATTGTAAATAGTTTCATTCTTAACGCTGATTCATAGTCAAAGTTCCCAGATTTCAATTCGTACGGTTTTTACTTTAGTGTATAGTAATTTAAAGTGTTTCCTCCTCACTTATCTACATAATAAATTTATTGAGATATTAGAGAATTCCTGATCAGCCAACTAACATTCTGACCGATCAAAATAATTTTAGACTTTCTCAAGTGTTTCAGGTAAGAAAGTTGCATGTACCTGTTACCTGTCATTGTATTCTTGAATCCGAGAAACCAATCGTATCATTGAGATACTTGGATGATTACATACCTCCTCTGCATTCAGTTCTCACAGCAGACAGTTTCAAATTTTTGAGACCTTTTAATCAGGCTGCTAGTAATCTTCTCTTATTCGAGATTTCCCAATAAATTTTAGGAGCTTCGATTCTAGAATTTTGTGATAGATAAAATCCTTAAGTTAGAATCTGTCAATTTGAGTGATTCTAATTCAACGATGATTGTATTCCTCTCACCAAGAAACCTTCAGCTGTCTGCACTTACAGATGCTTATCTCACTGGAGAGGTGAGCGATAAATTGATGGTAAATGCCTCTTTGTGTTTTTGATCTATTGGTACTAAATCTTACGAAGTACCTCAAGATGCTGAAACACGGTCACGGTTTTGCTTAATATTGCCCAGTTGGAACATTGCAATTCTTTACAGTTAAACCTTTAGAAATACATAGCTATGTTGTATTTAAACTGGTTCTACTGAACTTTTCCAAATTTCACTCTCGAGTAGAACTTCCCAATGATTTACAGGTTTTGAGTTTACTTAGCTACGTGGTACCTATGCTTCAACAGTTTTTGGTAGGCTCAATAATTTTAATTTTCTCCACAATTTTTGGGTCAACAGTACCAAGATGCCACCGTATGAAGCAGCCTTGTCGCCTAGCCAAATTTATCTGTCGATAGACACTTAGCAGAATAGTATTAGCAAGAAATGATGCTTATTAGCAGTATTTTTCATGTTTATCCAAAATTGGATGGGAGGTGGGTCGAAGGGGCCCAGCGGTGTTTAACAGGTACGAGACAAGAGGAGAGTACTGAACATTATTTATGGACGAATAGCTAGAGCTTGGCTTATTGATGACTGATATTTATTTGACTGAAACATCATCATTTTATTTTACAGGGACAACTGCAAACTTTTAATGAAATTTTCCTCAACCACCCCACAAGTTGTGGTTTCAAATCAAAATGAGGACACTCACAGAAGACAAAGGCCGTTTAAACAGCAAGATTTCAATACTGTGTACCAGTATTCAAAACTCAACAAAACAGGTGCCCACATTAATTATTCAGTCTTGGAGGGAAAACAAAAATGTTATCCTTTTTTGATTCTGAAAAAATTTAACTTCATTAAAGGTGAAGATGAAATCGAAAATTTATAACAGCTCTGAGACCAGATTATGTTTTTATGAAGCCTCGCAGGACACAAACTTATCTCCAAAGCCCTGAAGAAGTAATTATGCCTATCGACAGTGAAACTATCAGTCCACTCATCTTGTTTGTGGTGCTCCCATTGTATTTTTTGAAGGAGAACAGATCGATATTATTCCTTCAAGTTTGTCACAGAGTTTCCTTTGCACAGGAAAAAAAATCACGGAAGTTTTCCAGGATGACATTGAGTAGTTTTCCATCCGAAAAACAAAGTATGACAGGAAGTCGTTAAGTATATTCATCGTTGCTATGCAGATACTCATCATGTGATTGAGTTGTGTGCATTTTGTGGCTTGTAATTTTGCTTTAAGGTCATTTGGACCGCGTTTAACAGAAAGGAACCAAGCCACATCAGTTATTACCAATTTGAACTGGGTAATTTAATTTCTTACGAGAAGACATTTGTGCGGATCCCTTTGAAAATGTTAGGGAATTTGCTTCGTAGGTACTGGGGAGAAAATTCACTAAAATTTGCACGAAAATCTGCACAACTGTTTCCATGTAAAAAATTGAATCAGCCGATTAAATTTGGCAATAGCTGATGTGGCTTGGTTCCTTTCTGTTTAACGCGGTCCATTTCTAACTTAACGTATTAGGATTGTGAGAATTCCTACAAGAATGTAACTACATGGCTGCAAGAGCACCCAATTTTGATGGTGCAAAGATTAAATTAAAAAGAAGTCTCCTTTAAAATATTTTTCTCAGAAATTGTTTGTATGAAAGACACGTAGGATAAAGCACTCACATTGCAAATGCCTTTGGCAAGAGCTCCAGAAATATGTCCCTTATATTTGAAAGCACCGAAAACTAAACTTGTAACTCTATTATTCCATCATCACACCATATGATATGCTCATGCAGTCAAGACAGGTGCAATTTTCTGACCATTATTCAACAGCTGTATCTATATTTTTAGCAACTCTTTTGAAAGAGAAATTTATTCAAAACTAGTTTCTTATTTAGTCAATGTAGCATCAAAAGTCAGTCAATGGTTGGTAACTATCATGTTACTTACACAATGGCAACTTCATGCTTAGATCTTCTTGGAAATTAGGTCTTATTTTTCAAATCTGGATTTTTCGTCATTTTAATAATCTTCTTTTCCTTTTTGCAGGTGTTTTACAAAAGATTTCAAACAAAGGGAGCAAATGTTGTGAAAGCCCATGTAATTTACTATTGTCAATCTTTCCAATTTTTCAATGGTTACCTAAGTACAACTGGCGATCTGATTTTTCTAAAGATGTAGTCTCTGGTTTGACTGTTGGTATTCTTCATATTCCTCAAGGTACATATCAGTACACTAATAACAACACAGAATTCTACAGTAAGACCTCAATTTATTGGATAACATGGAACTTTCAGTTGGATTCATTAAGTTGCAGAATCCATCAATTTAAAATAGCGGATTTTGGTGAAAATAGATAGAATTCCGTAGTTTAGTAGAAAGTTTTTTTCGGAAAAATTCTAAATATCTCTATTTTTCCCTGTAAAAGTGTTCCTGTAGAAAAAAGATTTATTGTTCTAGATTGTAAATGTAGCAAACCCAGTGAAATCAATGACTGTTCGTTCATTTCTGGCAGAAAAGTGTGGACAAAGGATGTTGAAAATTCTTATATCCAGAAAATGAAGTATGACAGGTCTGCAACGCTGCAAACTGAGATACTTCTCTCTGCAGTTTCATGGTCAAAATGTTTAAAAATTCATTTCCCAACTTCTGCTGTTACTTATGTATTATAAGTGGCCAAATGTCATTCTAAGATGTGCCAACTTTGATTTTAATGGCACTGTTTAGACCAATTTGAGTCAACATCTGCAGTCAAAGGACAAGTAATGGAAACTTGCAATGTATTTTTCTCAGAACACCATTTTTCAGTCAGTGAATAATGTTTGATAGATACTCATTGTTATTTTGATCAATTATTGATTGATATTTTTATTGATTTATTCAGTCATTTATAATGTTGGAATATTCTGCAACTTTCATAATGGTGTCTGGTTTTTTTTACTCCAGTATGCAAAACTTTTTATTTTAAATCTTCTCTTTTAAACTGCATCTTGAATTAATTAAAGTGTCTCTTCTCTTCAACTTTAGGGATGGCATACTCTAGCTTAGGAGGAGTTCCTCCAATTACTGGTTTATACATGGCCTTCTTTCCAGTTCTACTGTATGTTCTGATGGGCACGTCTAGGCACATTTCCATGGGTAATAATTTGACACTAGCCTTACCTTTTTTAATGTTTAAAAATAATATCTTTTAGCACCTTTTCTCAAACTGAAAGTTAATTTTGGAAACTACTAAACTCTAAGTAAACATAGGTGCTCTTAATCAGAAAAAATTATCAGAGTCACCTTAATTCAATGAATTGAAAAGTTGGATGCTTGTCATTCATGTATCACATGAAGACCAGCGCGTAATGATATCAAAGCTTTGTCGTTTTTTTCTCTCATAAATGCAAACGGAATGAAACTCAATGAATTTGCTTTTAATTAATTAAAATATACCAACCATATTCCTTATGAACGTATTTCATTTTTCTTTCCTTATTTTCTAGGTACATTTGCTGTGGTATGCATGATGACTAGTAAGCCTGTTTTTAAGTACGCAACTTTTCCGTCTTCCGACCATACCTCAGAAGATACTGCAGGTTTAACTCCAGTTCAAGTTGCAAGTGCAGTTTGTCTGATAGTTGGAATTTGGCAGGTAATATTATAATCTCTGCAGATAATCAATAAATTGTGTATATTTTGTGTTTGGTGTCCTCCTGTCTTACCAATGTTTTTTTCCTTCAAGCATTGTCCATCTCTGAAAAGCGTCTAAAAGAAAGTCTTTTAATTTAAGGTTTGTTGTATTTTGCAGATTTTATTCGGAATTTTTCGCCTTGGATCTTTGAGTGTTTTAATGTCTGAAACATTGGTCAGCGGTTTCACAACTGGTGCTGCAATCTTAGTTCTTACTTCTCAAGTTAAGCATCTTTTTGGGATACCTTTGAAAACAAGAGTAGGGAGTCTAAAAGTGGTTTACGTAAGTTTTCTATGTGTATCATTTAATAATAGAATTTGTTTGAACAAATCAGATAGGTTTCGCTTTTTTGTCATTGATATTCATCCTAAGGAATGTATTAGTCAATTAATAGAGCACTCTTTTTAAGATTCTGATGTGAAGATTTGCATCACAAAATATGCAAAACTTGGTACAGAAAAATATAGAAAAAATAGAGGAAACCCCCCTTGTTTGTATCAACACAAATCAAAGCATTGACTCATTCTGCATTGTCTGAAAATTTAAGAAATTTTTTTCAAAATTATTGAGGGAAAACCTGAATAACAGTAAAAAGTATCTGCGGCCACTCAGCAAAGATGCAGAGAAATAAGGGAATCCTGATCAATACATTTCTGTGATCCTCTCAAATGTAGGAATAAACTAATGCCTCAGTTCAATTTTCTTGAACAGTTTGATTAATTTCTTCTATTGTTTGAAAGCTGTCTAACCTTATTTTGTTCTGAAAAATTTTGAATTGTGTGCTTTCAGACTTATAGGGATCTGTTCAACAACATCCATCTAACCAATTTCTGGACCCTGGGAATGGGATTAATTGTTGCTTCTCTTTTATACTTTTACCAACAAGTGATTAAGGTAATTGTTTCAAACTTGTATCCAGTACTTAACTTATTAGTTGGCTTTTTGGCCAACAATCGTGTGTTTTCTAAAAAATTCAGAACATTTTCTAATCTAGAGGGAACATCACATTTTTCAAACAATTTTCTTCTAGAGTTTTGTTGTTTATAAACTTGTGGGGATTAACTGTGTTCTGCGGGAAAATCAAAATCAAAAAAATTCCAAAACTCTTCATTAGACTCCAAAAATTGAACTCTAATGAGTATCGCTGCAAAACTAAAAGGAAGAGTGTTCAGCTCAGGATGCTTGAGCCTCGAGTGCCTGAGCTCAAATTTTCAAACAATGAGCACAGGTGGTTGGATAATACTGCCGTGCTAAGTAAAAACGCAGTATACGCATTTGAATCCTGTCAAATTTCCTTTCGGGAAATATTTATTTTTGAAGAAAGTTATGAATATTTCTTGTTGAAATTTTCAAACTTTTTAGATCAAATTATGAATAAAATCTTCTGAAAAATCAGAGAAGAAATATTCCCAACTTTCCCTAAAAATTCGTGATTTGTGGAAGGAAATTTGGCAACACCTGATGGCTTTTACGGTGTTCTTATTTAACACAGCAGAAAATGCCGCTCATTTTCATTTGCCCCCATTTAGTTTAATTTTTTTTTATGGCCTTGGAACAATAGCAGAATAATTCATTCATGCATTTTATTGATGCGGAACAATATAGCTTTTGTAGCTTAGTTCAGTAAGCTATGAATGACATGAATTTGCATTCCCCCTCCCTCAAAATGCGGCTTTTTGCTTAAGAAATAGGCATTGCCTAGCCTTTTTGAGAATTTTCCAGGAATGTTTTTGAACTCTTGCCATTGGCATAGTAAAGTAAAACAAATACCTAGTAGTAAACTGTACCAATACATACCTATGTAAAAAAAAAAATAAAAGTCCAGTTTGCAACTAAACCAAATCTATTGTGATAGATCACTTTTTTCTTTTTTTAAGAAAATAAGGAGGTGAGAAGTCCAAAGAGGCAGGTAGGTTGACTGGAGTCTTGACGCCAGATGCAGAGAGAAGCCAAGGGGATACAAAAATTCCAGGTTCGGGTGGTTGGTCGTCTTTATTTTTTTTACTTTGCCCACAGGCGCGAGGGTAAAAAGGGTAAAACCCCGCGAAAAACAAACTGCTTGTCTGAAACTGCTGTTCCAGAAACTTCTCATATTTTTTTGGATGAAAAAAGGAACTTCAGGAGAAAGCGCTAACTGAAAAGCGGTGGGCGGAAAAATTGTTCATTCGCACTTGGGGGATAGAAATCCGAACCATATTGCACGTGTAACTTGGTAAAGCTGGTTTGGGCACCATTTCAAGTTAGGTACTGATGGAATATTTACCGAGAAAGATGAAATTGGTCCTATCTGAGCTAAAAAGGCAGAAACACGGGTTTTGCACCATGTCACCTTGGACAGTTGGTTGAGGCACCATGTCACATCAGAAGGACTGAATACTTCTAACGGCGCTAAAAGATAATTGATTAAGGGAGAGTTGAATGAATAGAAAAGTTTGAAGGGCTGAAAAGTTGTGTATTGGAAGAATTTGGAAACAAGATTTACAGATTATTAGTCACACCGTAAGATGTGCCCGAAGAACAAGAGGGGGCACGCAGACAAGTCTGGGTCAGGATGGTCAAAGACCGTGAGAAACAAGCAGCACATGCTTTTATAAACTTGATGATGTCACGAGTGGCGAGACGGCGAGTTTATACGCGATTGGCTGGCTATAATCAGTGGAGTTATCAGTTACAAGTCTAGTCATTAATTTTATGGGTGATGGCTGGATGATAAAAGTAAAAAGGAGAAAAGTGGACGAAATCCAGCCATCCTAATTGACTAGTTTGAATTTAAATGAAAATTATGAATTCAAGAAAGAAAGAAGTTACAGGGATTTCAGGACCTGTGACACGGTCTTTTGCCCCTGGTACTTTTTTCCCCCCATCTACTCCAAACTTTAATCAAATCACTTAATACTTAATCAATTGTAAAATAATCAAACATTGTGCGGATAACAGCATTTACTAAATTAATAAAAAAGAGAAGCAGAAAATTGCCTTACGCTATGATAGTTTATTATGTGTTAATTACGTAAATTTGCGTAAATTTTATTGATTGTAAAATAGTTTAAGCATTTTTGGGGAATTAATGCCTCAGCACTTTTTTGGAGCCACTTTGAAGTTGTGTGAAAGATCTATCTAAAACTCAAAGTCCTCTTTTTGGTAAGAGTTAAAGCCTCTATGTCATGTTGAAAGTAGCTAAAATATGTTATTTTGCAAGTCTCTGAGGAACAATGAGGGTTTTTGAAGTATGTAAAATTTTCTCAGCTCACCATAACTCAGTTTATGTAACAGAAACTTTGGTGCTGAGCATACCTATTGTGTGATGTGTGCTTTGTAGGTTGTCATGATAGTCTTTAATGCATGTATGTAACCTAAGTATCCTAAATTATACCATCCTTTTCTTACATTAGGATGATGAAATTCCTTGTCTTAGAAGAATGAATACTTGTAACTTCTGATCGAAAATTTGGTCCACATGGATGTATATGCTGCGGGCAACTAGCAGGTATTAGCAATTGCCCGTAATTTGCAAGTTGTTCGAGAATTGTCTCGGCAAATCTAATCAATTCTCATCAAAACAATGCAAGTAAAGAATTTCAAAAGTCCAAACTTGACTTGGATGGCTTAATTTTTCCATGTCGCTTTTAAGCTTTAACACACTGCTTTTTAAGTTGTCTATCTTACCCAAACCCATCTAGGGACACTGATCTTAGTGTGAGCACACAGAAACATAGCAACTGTCTCATATTCTAGGAGAACTGTGCGTCTATTCTTATTCAAAACAAAATAATCAGTATTTTTGTCATGTTTTTTCATTTCTCAAAATATTTATTTATTCGTCATTAGAAGTTCGCAAATTGCTGGTGATCACTAATCGCCTGTGACGAACACATTACAGTATTATCGTTTTAATTCACATTATTCTTTCATGTTTCAAACTGTTACAGCCTCGGGTCAGTAAGCACATTCCAGTCCCGATTCCAACAGAATTGATTGCAATAATTTCTGGCACTCTACTGTCAAAGCACTTAAATTTACCTTCAACTTATGGTATAAAGGTTGTCGGTGATATTCCTCTTGGGTGCGTTTAATACTTTTTCCACATGTTTTTATCATAATTGGCTCCAAAAGAGTCAGGCTTTGTAAATAAATATAAAAATTTTAATGAAATCGAGTATCTTAATGAAGGGCCTAGTGCATGAACAAGTCAAACGATATTTTTTGAAAAATTGAAGTAACCGCCAAGAACCCCAAAAATGGTTACAAATTTTGTCAAGATTTTGAAATCTTTACACTAAATTGTAAAGTCAAACGAACTGAAAGTTGCAGAAAAACTCAAAGGTTTGAAAAGTATTAGACAATTTTTAAAAACTAGAAAAAACAAATGAGGAGCTTGGAAGACAAATGAGATAAGTGCAGTGTTTTAAATAATCGATTTATCAATGATTTCAACTAAAACTAGTCTTAAAATATATTCTGTGAGAAATTCTCAAGTAAGATCCAAGTTTTAAACATCAAAGAGTGAGTTCATTGAACTTTCTATCTGCTGAGAAGCACAAAGTAATTTTCAAACTTAAAACTCGTATTTCTTGAAATTTAAAAAAAACTGCTTTTATACCACTTGTCCTCCAAGCCCCTCACATAAACCCACAAAAACTTTTATGAATATTTTTCATTTCAAACCTCAAAATATCCAATATCATTTGAGGTAGATCATTTTTTAAAAAAGAAGATTTCCCAAGACTAATGGTTCTCTTTTTTATTACTGTTGAAGACTTTTTTGTACTGAGGGGTGCAAATAGTTCTTGTTCAGAGATCTAACAGTGTCTTTTTCTAAAATTTGTCAAAAAAGATATTTTAAGACCCACTATCCCCTGCTCTATAAAAATTATTTTCACAAGTTTTGTGATGAAACCGTCAAAGAACTCTGATTGTCTCTAGGTTTAACTATCATTGTTTATTTAAACCATAAGCCTTATTTTCCTGTGTTTACTTCCATTTGTTGTAGTTTACCAGATCCCAGTCCACCCCCTGTTTGGCTTCTTCCAAATTTAGTCATTGATGGTTTAGTCATTGCCATTGTTGCCTTCTCGGTCAACATTTCCATGGCTTTTATATTTGCTCGTAAATTAAAATATGATGTTGACCCGAATCAAGAGCTCATTGCCTCGGTAAGTTTTATTTCTTCTATAATATATAGAGGTAAAATTTCTAGAGTAAGCAACTCCAAATAGAAGAAATTTTCTAGTCTTGGAGTATGTCCTATCTTTGCTTGTATTCTCTCTTTCCAGTAGCAGTCACTGCTTTAACTGGACAGCTGAATTCAGGAAATTTTGAATTAAATTGAAGGATATTACTCTTCTCCAAAATATATAAATTTGTATTCTCCAGTAGGTGTATTAGTGATATTATGCAAAACAGTGATCACCCTAAACTTATCTGCCTTGATAGGGAAGAGAGCCGTTAGTGCGAAAATGAGGAAATGGGCTCAGTAGTCAAAAATTACGAAAATGCCAAAGTTTTTTCCTTGTCCTGCAAAATCGTCAGTTTACAGATGGGCGGTATTGTTTCTTAACCATCAATGTCTCATTTTTTTTTACAGAAGGGCTGTTTTGATGAAGCTAGGAAAGTTTAAGGACTCTGTAAAATGGAGAGAATTTTTTTCGAATAAGAAGGATTAAGGAAAAATTAAAGTGACTTTTGCTTCTAGGAACTTAGATTACCCAAACTGAAGTGGAGACTGTGCTTTACAAGAACTGTAACAAACTAAACTAGCACAAAATATTGAACAATTTTGTCGTATTTATCTTGCAATGTCGAATGTTAGTTCTCATTCTATTTCACATAATTCAGGTTTAATTTATCATCCCCCAGGGTTGCTCCAATATTTTTGCATCCTTTTTTTCGTGCATTCCATTCGCTGCATCGCTGTCTCGGAGTGTTATTCAGCAAACTGTCGGAGGGAAGACGCAACTAGCAAGTGTTGTATCATGTAGTTTCCTAATTCTTATTCTTCTATTCATCGGACCATTTTTTGAAGATCTTCCTTACGTAAGTTACCTTGAAAATTATATTGATTCAAATTTTGGTCAGCCTTTCTAGAATGTCTTAAAAAAGATCATCATCCTGGAAGTGAATATACTTCCATTTACTGCATAATACTTCATAATACTTTTCCTTTTGTAAAAATCCGTGAGAAACATGGAAGTGCCACTGGTTTACTCAGAAAGAAACTCCGGAGTTCAAAAAAAGCTACCTATCGTAGTTATGGCTGTAATGGAGATAATTGCCAGTTTTACTCTACAGTCCTTACCATTACTAACTAAACTTGGAGACCGTTTTTTGAGCTTCGAAGTTTGTCTGAGAGAAAATCAGTGGCACCATCATGTTTCTCACGAAATGTTACGTAAGAGGAAGTACTTAAATTGCATATCCCTATGGCTTACAAGAACTTCATTTTGGTACCCAATGGGAGTGCATCTATTTTGTGCCCCTTGCAATGGGCTTGCTGTCACACTTCTGTATCAGAAAGCAAAAGGTAGTCATGAAATAGCAGATACAATGATTTGAATAAAACATACTGGTCAGCCTTTCAAATTTTAAAGGTCTCCTAGATTATTATCCATGACCTGTCTTTGCAAAAAAAAAAAAATCCTTCATACACTCTTAAGCATTAAGTTATAATAAATAAATATAACAACTGCATCATAAAACTCATTGATCCCCAAATTTTTTAGCATAATTCAATGTTTGTTTCTTTCAGAAAATGATCAAAATCTCGATGACATAACAAGAATGTATTTTTCGTTTTATTTGCAGTGCGTACTTGCAGCCATTGTTCTTGTGTCAATGACGGGTTTACTCGTGCAGTTCAAAGATTTGTTTACCATCTTCGGTCAATCAAAATCTGATGGACTCATATGGTTTACAACATTCATTTCGGTCGTACTCCTTGATATCGATTATGGGCTTGTGATAGGAGTTGTCATTTCCTTGGTTTGTGTCATAATAAAGAGTCAAAAAGTCATTGTCTCTATTCTTGGCAACATCCCTGAAACTGATATGTATGTTGAACTAGAAAGATATGAGGCTGTAAGTTCAGGTTTCTTATTCATGTCTCATGTCATCCTAAAATTATTCGCTTTGTCACTTTGTTTAGGGTGTCTGCATTGTGCACAACTCAAAATCCAGCAATATCCGGAATGGTCAGAAAATTTCGTCAAATCAGGGAAAAGTCAGAGAATTTTACAAAAATAAAGACTGAAAGAATGAAAAATTTATAAATTTGAAATCTGAGAATGCATCAGGGCAGCCCATACAATCGAAGTGAGTCTCACAGTCTGCTTCAGGGCTCAGTGCTTTGAGATACACTCTGAATGGCGAATAGAGGAATGAGTTTGGATGAGGAATTGAAATATTAGTTAACTGAATTATTACATAATACCAAAAGAAAAAAGTTTCACATTTTTCCGTTATATACAGTAAAAATAATGCAAATTGGCAATGGAGGAAAGTCAGGGACATTGCATCAGTTTGGTCAATGAAAACCTGGAAAAGTCAGAAAATTTTTGTCTTGTAAAAAAAAAGTCTGTGGACACTACGTTTTAGTATTTATGTCTCTCTGTATTTTATCATTACTCTTTCAAGAGCAACTCAATGGCCAAAGTGCGAAACGATGTATCTTTGTTAGCGATATTGCAGACTTTCTGTCATATTCTATTTTTTTTATGGAAAACTAGTGAACATCATTCCCTGAAAGCTTTCTCGTTTTTTTTTTACCATAAGCAGAATATCCTACACAAATTTCAAGCCATAAAGCTGGCTTATTTCTCTTCGAAAACATAAAATAGGAGTGGACACTTAGTAACACCGCAGTAGAGATACGTATTTTTGCACTTTAGCCACCGAACTGTATGTTCTCAGTAGTTGGTCTGTTAAAATGAGGTTGCGTTGAATAAGTGGCAACTGATACCTAACAGTGAATTTTTAATTCTTTGTGTAATTTTTTCAGTTACTACATTTAGTCAACATTTACATTAAGTAAATGTCCATCAGACATTAAGTCTGACGGACTAAAAAACTACTCTAAACTGATTCTTTTGCTAAGAGATGCTTTTGAAGAAACAAACACTTTTGTTACACAGAAGTCAGCAATATTGATTGTGAGTCAAATTTAAGTGAAATTGATGACCTTATCCATCTCTTATCTCTAGATTCTACTCACTTGCTTGTTTCATTTGAAGATGGCTTATTTTTTATGCTCTTTTAATTTCTGTGTATTTTTGAAAGGTTTCATCAGATTTTCCCAAAAATTTTCCTTAAGAAATGAAAACGTAACTTTGATGTATGAGTGGGCTGAAGAATTGATCGATCTTAGCAAGTCAAGTTACATCTATTCCCACCTTTTCTATTTTCAACTTTAATATTTAATCTGTACCAATCCTCATTTAAGCCTAAAATTAATCCAAATTTAAAACAAAATAAAAAAGAAAAAACAAATTATACATTTATCACTATTTTCTTAGTATGTGTACGCGATTTCAAATGGATTTAATTTGCTTTGTCATCATTTCAGGCGGTGCAAGTACCAGAAACTATGATTTTGCAGCTAACCGGTGGCCTTAATTTTGCAAATATTGATAGTTCAGTACAAAAGATCATAAAAAAAATTAATAATTTTAAGAGATTTAACAAGGTCAGTTTGTTTTCTTCTGTTAATTACTTTATTTCTGTTTCTATTTATTTCATATTTTAACACTTTGATAGCTAAACTCCCAAACCATGTATCTTGGTTTATGACATTGCAGAAGTGCAGACTTCCAGCCATATCTTATTTTTTCTTTGGAAAACTAGTGAAAGTAACATCCTAAGAACTTCCTTTATTTTCCTTCCATGTCAGCAGAATATTCTGTATACATTTCAAGCTATAAAGTTGGGTTGTTTCTCCTCGAAAAAATTAAATAGGAGCAGACATTTTGAAACACTGCAATGGAGGTACGTTGTTTCGCACTTTGGCTGTCAACTTGTATGTTTTTAGGTTTAGTAGATTTTTTTTCTTCTTATCAGAGGAGTTAGCATACCTATCTTTTTTTCTTCCCTTTTTTTATTCATTCATTAATTTCTTTATTTATTTTTGTTCAGCATACGGTACCATTTTCATCGGTCAATTTTCTCCCATCATCCATTCCTATTGTTCTGACTATCATTACGTATGCGGCAATAATGTGAAGGTGAATTTTTATCAACAAGCCACAACTGAAAAATTGTGTTCAGTCCATGATGGAATTAAATCTTTTTTATAAGACTATTGGTGCGAGAAAATGTTGCAAAATTTTTTTTTAGTTTCAATAAGAAGGCTCATTTAATAGAAAATTTTTCTCTAAATCAGCAAAATTATTGTTGTGTGTATTTTACTCGAACCAATTTTTTCGTTGAGTTCATATTTTAATTTTCAACATATAATTCGTGTGATTCAATTTGTTTGATTTAGGTTCAAAATGTTGTCTTAAATATGGCTTCAGTGTCCTATATTGATAGGGTCTCAACTATTGGCTTGTTGAATTTAACAAAAGAGCTGAAAGGAGAAGGAATCTTCATGTATCTTGCTAGTGTCTCTGGTAAAATTCAAAAATATTATCTCTCTCTTTACATAATTTATTTTAGTTTCATTAGAAATATTTTCTGTTTGTGTGCCTAAAAACTACAAATTACACTTGACAACTTTTTGAGAAAGATGGTGTATTGACAAGGGCCGTTTTAGGTCCACCTTCAATTTTCTCAACTCCTTGATTCCATCCTCATTGAAGGTCTATATTTTATGGAATTCATCATAATTTGATCATTTCAGTTCTAATTTGGCCTAAATATGGGTCTGAAGACTGATTCTGGCGAAAAATGCGGGTTTCAAGGTTGAATGCCGTACAATCGGCATACATTCATGTGTAGGTCAGTATTAGACCCGGAAATAACCAAATCATGATGCACTCCATAAAATATAGACCCTCAATGAGCAAGAAACTGTAGAGTGAAGGCATTTCAGGGTGCCTCTTATCGATGCCCCTCCTTTCCGTTTCCCACTTTGGATACCTCTTTTTCTTTTTTCTCGAGGAACCATTCATAAAATTTGTAATGCTTTAGGGGGAGGGGAGTCGAGGAGAGCATTACATCATTTCGTTTGTATGTGATAAAGGGTTGGCACCTACGTAGCAGAATGCTACAAAGAGGGGTTTGGTCGAAAATCCAAAATGGGTCATATACTTTATGAAACCATGCGTTTTATGTGCCATAATGGCCTTGATCTTTTTATTCACTACCCAATGCAGTTCATGCAGGAATTTAGCGCTGCTAGTATGATCTTTCTTCAATGTATACTCCAGTATTCTTGTGGGAAATTTTTCTTTTTCTTTTTCTTACGAAGTAAAATTGTATCAAACCGAAGTGAAAACTCAATGGAAAAATCATCCATTCATACTAGATTTGTCCAATTCAAACTTGCACCTGCTCGAATCCTAAACATAGTAAATTTGACAAATATTGAGGTAGACGCTGTCATTACATTTGAAAGTCAGGCCACCCAAGGCCATTAGACTAGGTACGAATTAGTATCTAGACATCCTCCTTGCTCCCGTCACAAGTTGAATAACTAAAAGTATTTTCTTTCCAGATGCTGTGGGCTCCACTTTGGACAAATGTGGATTTTTCAAAGAGTTTTCTGAAACTTATGTATCTCCCTCTGTTCATGATGCCATTCTATTTATTCAGCTAAGCTCTCAATGAAATCAAATCTTTTCTTCTTTGCCTTTATTCACTGTGATATTCATCATTGCAAGCAATGATACCTTATTGATTCCACTCGGTAGTATCAAAGTATATGTAAGGTGCTCTAAGGTTTTTGCAACTCTGCGTAAGTCAATGTATTTTTCTATCTATTGTCTTCATCTTTATTTTTTTTATTTATTTCCTTTCATGTGTGTTTATAAAGTATACATTAAGGACGAACAATATGAAATAATATTTTGACCGTACAAATTAGGTTGCCTATTATCGAAGATATTGTCTAGTTTTGATTTGGATCTGACCTTTAGGTAGGTTGGGGGAGCAGAAAGTTTGAAAACGCTGAACATTTGCTGCAATCTTGCGGTTTTTACCTCTTGGTATAATTTTTCTTTTGCTTTACTTCTTGAAGCAAAAAAGAAAAAGGTCATAATTTTTTTTAAATTGCCTGACGTTCATCATGATCCAACAGTAATTTTCCCTCAATTTTGTGCAGGTTCTAGTTATTCCGAAGCGTAATATCCTACTTCATTGTGATCAAAGTTTTCAATCAGATAGATAACAATTTTTATCTATGTCTCAGTTCAACTGCCAAATGCAAATATTGCAATACCTGATTTTGTAGCATCGAACAAAGATCGCCGCTTTTCCGCACAGCCAAAAATCTATGTCATGGCTAATCATTCAGACTTTTGGGAATATCATTTACAAGTTTTTTGTTGGTCAAATCAGGCTCATCAATGGATCATCGATCACATTTTGGGAACTGCTGTGTGGGAGCAATTATGTTAGATTTTTAATATTCACCTTTGACGCTTGTAATAAAAAATATAACAATTGACTTCAACTCCATCAGAGAAGTGTATGTTGAGAGTGTGAAGTTAGTTGTAAGTATGGTGATAGGGTTGTAGATCAAGATCTGAAATCTTCAAAATATTGGGTATTTTTCTGGTTTTTTTTTGTAAGTATCTTTCATGATTTTAAATTTGTTCATTTTTGGACTTTGTATTTTATTTTCATTGTGACTTTTAATCTTGTGATATTGTTGTGCATGGAGAACTTGTTATTCATTTCATCATTTGAGCCTCTTTAATCAGAGACTGTTATCTGTATCAGTCTTAACATTTCAGTATCTTAACCTATGTAGGGAGTAGGTTTATAACCTAAGAGGGAAAATGGAGCAAAGTCAAGCAGTTAAGGAACTGGAAGTAGTTAGGGGATGTTTCCAAAGTTTCTTTAGAGGTGCAAAAAGAAATAACAAATTGAATCACTATCAATTTAAAGAAAAGATTACTTGATAAGGTACAATACAAGCGCTCTGAAAAACGGTCCATCTTCAAAATTTCACACAGAAAACAATTTGTGCAACAAAAATTACTGAAATTAACTCTAAACCAAGATAACAACGTTTTTATTTAACATGAGTCCTGAAAAGTTTGAATTTCCCGCTCACAAGGAAAACAAGAGTCTTCTTGCAGTTACTTGAAGTAAACAGCGCTCCACAACGGTTTTGGTAGGTTTTTCTATCGGGCAGTGTTCCCTCCTCATCCTTTGTTGTTCAAAGTGTGAATAACAAGCAATAGCTGAGCTGAAGTGTCAAGATTGAGGCTGCCATATGTATTTTCACTCGGCAGAGACTGTGTAGATGATGTTCAGTGTGGGATTTGACTCAAGTACACAGATTATTGTTTATTCTATGAGTGGGAAGTTCGAATTTAAGAATCAAAAAACGTTGATATCTCGGTTCGGAGTCATTTTCAGAAACTTTCGTTGTACAAATCGTGTTCTACATGAAATTTTGATGAGGCTACATTTATCCAAATGCTTAAATTGGCACCTTTTCTGATGGTCCATTGGCAGTTCCGTTCTGAAGAACTAAAACTAAAGTGCTACAATAAATCCTGCAGGTTTTAATGCCGAAGGTTTCATTTTTACCTCAGGTTTTTTTTTTAATTTTTTTGTTTATCTGGAATCTGATATTATAAAGTGCTTAAGTAAGTTTTTCTTAGCTACTTATTATGATCTCCTTTTCATGTAATTTTCAAACCTTAATCCTTGTATCATGTTGAGGGATCTTCTGATAGACTTTACTTCAACCAACGCCAAAAATGATACTTTTTTTCTCTAAAACTTTGCATGAGCCCGTGAGCCGTATATCAAAGGTATTGAGTAGTTGTATCAGGATTGCAATGAAAAATTTATCTCAAGAATACCCACAAAACGAATTGAATAGAAAAAGGAGGCATTCGTTTGTCACTGACACTCTTAACAGTCATCGTATTACGATTTCTCAACTTCTACCTTGTACTTATTGCATTTTTTTTTAATCAGGTTTTTCTTTTTCAAGCTAATTTTAGCCCAGGGCCATTCATAAAGCATGCAATGCTCGAGAATGGATAGAGTGTTATGCCCTTTCGTTTTCCGATGTCAAAGGATAAGGGGCTAAAATCTTTAGTTCAGTGTTATGTATTTTATGAGCGGGTTTGAAGATTCCCAGCATTTTATAACAATTCCCTGCACATTTTCTAGCTCTAAAATTTCCTTTTTGTCGGATTCTGCACTTGTGAACTGATTAATTGTTTCATCGTTTCTCTAATCTTTGGAAAAAACTACGAGTGTCAATAATTTTATAAAGTTCCTTTCACAAGACCTACATTTTCCTTGCCACTAAAAGCAACAGTTTGCAATGCTGCAGCAAATTTCTTACTAATTGCTGTTGACCTTTCGACGTTTCATTGTAGGAATTTTAGATCGTAATTCGTAACTACGTGATTCAAATCCGCTCACATTGTAGTTCACATCTCCGGTGGAGGTCAACCAAAAATTAATCAGTGAATTACTTCTGCCATACTTTTATGACTGCTTTCTTGTACTTGTAGCTCAAAATTTGATTGTATATTCTTGAGACAATATCTACCTCCTGCAAATAATGCACTGATTCAAAATGACTAAAATGAAACTCAAAAAAGTCATTTATTGAAATGAGTTTGGTACATTTTGAAAAATTGTTGAGCTCACTTCATTTGGATGATGAATTTATACTAAAGAAGTCTATTTGCAGCTGCAATAACGGATCCCATGTGGACCCATCTTTTTGGTGTGAATGTGTCCATCATTTTATACTTTCTTTTTTATTCGACAAATGTTCCCTGTGGTTTTATTTTTGTTCTTGTTATCTTTTTTCTCTTACATTTTTGGTGTTCTGCGAATTGATTGAAAATGATGATGAAGAAAAAACCAATTATCGTTGAAGCAAAACATTTATGTTCTTAATTCTTCTCCCCATTATCACTCGGCCTTTTCATTCATTTTGAAACATATTTCCATAAAGTATCTATGTATTCTAGTCTTCAAAAAAGCATGCTGCCTCTCATTCATTAAATTTAAAGACATCTACTTATCAAGTACTAGTATGTATCAAGTACAAAGATACATACAGACTGTCCTACATTCAAAAATGGGTTTTAAAATTTGTTCTGCTCATGTAGTAACTGCTTTAAGATAGTTGCTCAGCTTCTCCTTTCAAAATAATAATCTGAAATAATTTAATAATAATGTACTAATAAATGGCAGAAATTGACCCTTTTATTTAGCCCTTTCCAAGACAATGAACGAGTAGTTTTGACCGTTGGTGAAAATCTAACTTTTTCGCCAATTTCGCGATCCAGCGGACTTGTGGAGCTTTTCGGACCGGAAAATCGGACTTCTCGGGTCATTTCCAAAAGAACTAGCAAGAATTCAGCCCGACCGAAAATCGAGAACTTCCGATTTTGACCGTAAAAATTTAGTCTACTTAACCTCTGTCTATTTTTCTCGATTTTGGTTGGGAAACAAATTTCGAGATTAGTGTCAAAGCTTACGTAGAATCAGTTGCATATGGTCCCGAAGTCTCCTGAAGCAACCATGTACCTAGTGGGAAAATTCTATGTGTCTTCCAGCAGCAAAGACCTAAGTTGGGCATATTTCAAGATAGTTTTAGGGCGTCCCTGAGGTCAACTTATATTAATTGCTTTTGATTATGATGCTGAGATTAAATGAAAACCTTCCTGTAGGATTACCATTTCCTGAGCAGTAATTTTTGAGACATTTGAAAATAAAGGACGTGAAATAAGAGAATAATTATTGATTTCAGAATAACTTATATTTACACACATTTATTTTACAGAATAATGTTCTAGTTCAGTTTTGTACAAAATTATACATAAAAGTAACAGTTAAAACATAATGAGAAACATTAAAAATCTAGATCTAAACTTACGGACAAGGAGGCTATGGTTTCAATCTTAAATTAAAGCGGCATATGTTAATAAACTTCTAGGTAGTTACAGTCTGGAAGGCAAAGAAAATTAAACGTTTCGAGATAAATGTAACTTGGAATTTGCTTGCTTCGTAAATGGATCATTTACACATAAATTTTAACAATAGAAAACTTAACATAATTAAAATGCAACATTGTTAAACCTTTCACATGGTCCCTGGACAAAAAAACGAGTAAGTAGCCAAATAAGTGTATCCATAGGTTGATGTACACAGTCTCATACTCGTATGAGTAACACATACTCATAACAAATTGTGATTGAAATATGTATACAAACATTCAAAGGAGATAAGACAGATTTTAGCTCTGTTAGCTTCCACTGCCATTCACTGGCCTGAATCCTCCAGTTAAAATGAAAGAGGCTCCACGGAATTTGGCGCTGGTTCAGATCCTCTATTCATTTCACTTGTAGCACAAATAGAGTGAATTCAATTACAAACAGGATAAAGAACGTAAGAATTGATGGGGGAAAAATGAACAAGACTTCCCTTGTATGTAGTGCAAGTGAGGGACTGTTCATAGAGTATGTAACGTGATTTTTCAACACCAGTCTACCCCATGTAACGCAAACATGACACTAGTTCAGACATCCTCAAACTAATTATGTGGGTTTGCATAGTCTCTATGAATTAGTAAGGCTAATAAGTGAAATTCAAATATAATTGGAAAAATATGTATTTTAAAGGAAGAACAGTTGAAAAAAAATGTGAAAAATATGCGTGAAAAAATGAATATTAAGGACAATAAATGATAGTGTGAATCTTAAAAAGAAACTAATAGGAAAAACATTGAAATCCAGTATGTACTTGTAGGTAACGCTAAGTTTGACACCTTTTCACCTTGTTAAAAGCTTGGTCACAAAATTTTTAAGACTCACCCACCCCTTACAGCGTTACATAATTTATGAACAGCCCTGGATGTAGTGAGGTTCTCATGTTTCTGAACGAAGAGAGATGCATCAAATTGATGAAAACGTATGTATTAGGCACACTATCATGAGCTTCAAATTGAGTAACTCTGAAGCAAGAATGCAACATTTTCTTAACTCGTTTTGAAAAATATTCAAAAATTACCTTCGTTTTCATTAGTCATGATATTACTGGTGTGAAATTACATTCAACGGAGAACACGCACGACAAATGCAGCTAACTAATAAATATCTGATTCTCTTGCTAACTGGTAATTCAAAATGTTAAACTACGGTTAAAAACTGAAGCTGGGCATGTTCGGATCAAAATAAATTCAGCACTTTTTGCTCTTGGGGAAACAATTAGGAATCTTTGGTACACACCACCGATTCCATAGGAGGGGGACACGCAGCAATGGGTGACTGTCTCACTGAAATTGAGCTTCCTTGCAAACTGCTCATCTAACTCATCAAAATCTCACTTAGAACACAATAACAAGTCAAAAGTTACCACTTTCAACTCTTAGATGCAGAAACATCATTTCCTGTGATTGTACCAGTAAAAAAATCAAAGTTTATTAATATCAAATTAGCCACTTAATTGATCTCAGGATCTTGTAGCCTTTAAGATGGGATTATTTTTGAAGTTTGCTGAATTTTTCTTGTCAGTTTTACAAAACAGGAATCAAAATCGGTGGTAATTTTCTTATAATCCAGAATTCTCATTGGACAGATGAAAAGTCTGTTTTGATGACTGAATGGACTTACGTTGATTTTTGTTTCTTTGTTCAGGAGAAGTTTACATTTGCTAATTCTTACGTAAACTACAAACACCAACTTCTTATTTATTAATGGACTTTGGATTTTAACATGGGTACTGTGTTCTGCATTAAATTGTGATGGAGAGGCATATCTGTTGTGCTTTAATCTTCATCCTGCCTGGTGATATATCATTCTGATATCACATTCTAATACTGAATTGTTTTGTTCAAACCATCTCTGTTCAAACATTCTAAGTTTCTTTTTCATAAACCTAAGACGCTTTCAAAATTTTTGAGTTTGCGACATACAATCACTAAGAAAATATTTCAAAAATTAATTTACTTGAAGAATACACATGCAAATCATATTATTTGCCGTAAACCAATTTCAATAGGTTTAGCTGAATATAAGCTTAAATTGCATTATTGATATTTTCGTAAGGAGGGCCCTTAACCCACTTTACTTGGGGCCCTCTCCTGAAACTCATCACAAGTATGTCTTTAAGGCTTGAGGTTTCCCTTTTACATAATCCAAAATCTTATTTATACAATTTGAGAATGATAAAGAGAGTTTTTCAGGGACAATCAGTAACTTAAACCAATGATGAATCATTCCTTCGAATTCATCCAACGCGTAGCAAGGTACATTAGACATCTAGGAAGACTGAAAAATTTGTTCATTTACAGTATAAGTTTGTTTAGGGTTTCCTCAAAAATTCTATCTCCGTCACACCATATGCCATTCATTAGACCTTAGCTAACGGTTGTTGTTAGAGGTTCCGACTTAGCATCCTTTGCATCTGCTCTGAAACATAAAAATGATAAAGCACATTTTTTTATGAGAAAGATGATGGGAAAAAAAAAATATTCATCTACTAAAAAATGATGGGCTCTCGCATGCATCAGGAATTTTCAATTTAGGTACTTTTTCTAAAGTAAAATTTTGCGAGAAACACGATGGTGCCTGTGGTTTTCTCTGAGAGAAACTGTTGTTTTCCTAACACTAGCAGTTTCATAACATGCAAGAAACAACAATAAAAATATGGTCTGAACTGTAAGTGACGAGGTGGTGGAATAGAGTTCAATTTTAGAGGTCAATTAGTTTTCAATATAGTTCAAATTTTTAAATCTAGTGGTTTTTGGAACTTTTTGGCATTTTTTTCCCTATTAATCCTGAACAATTCTAATTTATTTAATTTCCTGTAGCCAATGTAAACTGACAACGTTGATTTTAATAATTTTCATGGCACAAATTAGATTCTATGTGAAATATAGGTAAGGAAACAATCAGAATGCTTAAATTTGCACATTGTCCGGTGGTTTCTCACAGAAAGTGGAAAAATGGCATTCGTCCAAGTTCAAATTGCCCAGATACTTGCATTCTTTTTGTAGGCATCCTTATAGGATGAACTTTTAGAAAAAAATTAGCACAAAAAGATTCTCAATTTATTAGTCCATTCGAAAGATAATATGTAATTTTGAAGTTATAAATTAGCTAATGCTGCTACGAGGACAAAAAGGCATTTGAGGCTTCAAATATTGAGAAAAAGTGAATCTTGTAAGTACTGTGGAATAACACACTAAGAATTTGTCAACAACCAGGGAGGGGGGTTGACCTATGAGGAAAAGTCCCCGTTTTGCCCACCATTTCAGTAAATTTCTGAGATTTCACTAAGGTTTTCCCATAGTGCCCTACAGTTTTTTTACCAAGACTTTCCTACTTGCTTACATCTTTTACGTTTTCCTGGTCTTTAGGAGCCTTGCTATTTGCTTACCTGTAAATAGAGGATGTTGATGTCGATCTTGACCAGGAAACAAGGAAAGTTGTATTCTTTTGCGTATTGGCTTTTGATTCAAGAACAGCATTGGTGATATCATCTGGAAAGAGGCAGGTCTGTAAACCCAGCAGCAAGAAGCTGCAAAAATAAGAGAAAAATTAAACCACAGAAAAGAAAAGAGAGAGCATAGCTTGACCATTAAAAAGACTTCTGGTAACGTTTCCTCCACGACGTAATCGCACTTGCTATTTCACTTGATCTTGGTAAAGACAACAAGTTAAACTTAAAAATTGAAATACTGTCTCAGAGTGAATATTTTATTACAAAAAAACTTGATGTGTGAAAGTTGCTTTTACAACTAAAGAACGGATCAAATAGCAGAGTTGAACTGGTAGCATTAAGAGATGATTGATGGAGTTTCAAAGTATGATTGATTTAATTCAATTGTGTTGAGTTCATTTGTTGTTTCAGTTTTGTTGGCTTCATTTTTTCTGAGAAAAAAAAAGACCTTGTTGTGATATCAGTGCTTCAACAATTTGAAACTGCATGCTATGTTATAATTCTGTGTTTTTACCCTTGTAGGGTTTTCGGAGAGTTGCTGGTTGACACAAGATGAAAAAGACAAATTACCGAGGTAAAAGAGCGAGGATTGATGATAGAAGGACGATGAGCCAATACTCAGCTGTAGCGATAGTGTTTCTCAGCACCCAAACATTATTTGTTGGAATCCCAATGCATTGAAGACAAACAATATTGTACACCAGACAAAATGCATAAAAAGATGATAATGAAACAGTGAGGGATAAGCCATGTATAATAGTCTGAAAACAAAAACAAAAATTACATTTCCCACGGTTTTCTAGGGGAGAATTAAATTAATTATCAACATAGAACATCTATGATTTAAACACTCATGAGAGTGCTATAGGAATTGATAATCAGATGGGTCGTATTAAAGAATGGTTATTGGTACTATATCCACATCTACATCCTTACGCGCCAATACTGTGAGTAAATCAGGTGATATCCATCAAATATTGATGGTTCTTGTAATCTTATGGTGATTTAACAGGGAATTCATTGCAACAGACTGATTTAGTGAACATGTCATATGATATTATATCAAACTCAGCGGTTCTAACTAGAACAAATAACATAATGTACAAAGTCTGTGCAAGTTAATTGTCTTAATTCATTGAAATTAAGTCATTAACAGGTCATGAATTAATTGAGGACTCTTTAAACATTTAAACTTTTGATTGCAAGAAATATTTAGACACATTGTACCAATACGGCGCAAATCAGAGGCAAGGTTACTCATGTGTTTGTTTATAATTGAACTATGATGTAATCACTAAACTAGTCTATTAATTAAAGATTTTACTTGGATAAAAATTGGGTAAAGGAATCTTAAACTCTCTCTTGACGTATGTAACTAGAGTCCCGCAAGCTAAATGAAGAAACAAGAAGAAACTTTTTAATGCTTACCCATGACCTGGTCTCCAGACAACATTGAATTAGCATGGCAAACATACATGATGTAATAATTGTTAAACCGAACTCCCACAATCCAATTTCAGTATCATGGTAAGCCTGGAGCAAAAAGAAAGAATAAGAAAGATTTTGTGAGTATTATCTGAAAGTAAGTTTTCAGATAATTCATTTAAGGCATAAGAAAACTGATTGAAAACTGTGTGAATTATGAATCATACAAGAATATACCCTAAAGTAAGTTCCCCCTCTTTAATTCCTCAAAAAGTATCATAGATAAAGTAAATCTGGAAATAGGGTTTTGTAAGTCACACTTTCAGCTTTTCAAAAAGCTCCCGTTTTTTAAAATTGGTTGACGGGTTGCCAAGATATTAGACTTTTTTGGAGCCCACCTCTACTCGCTGCGCGCGGATCTGATTCAATGGGGCTTTTCTGCTGTTTCCTCAGACCAAGGGACTTAGGGTTGGCTAAATTTTGTTTTTATTGAACTTACTATGTGCTAATGTCACGTGGTAATGTATGTATAATGAGTATGAAAAGCAGGGCTGAAAAGTAAATTTGTCAGCGCACAGAAAGCTCAGCTTCCAATTTCCTTGGTTCTTAATGTGTCCAGAATAGGTCATACAGAATATCATAATAAATAATGGCAATAAGCTGGCTAAGAGCCGGTTAAATCTCATGGTTTTTTAAGCAGGGTTCTTTGTGAAGCCTCTGTAGAATAAAATGATAACCAAAGTTCCATCTAAATAAATTGCACCTAATATCTAGCAAAAAAGTTTCGTTTTCACGCCCGAAACCACAGTATTACAAGTCAGTAGAGAATATACTTACGTAGACTCCAACATAGAAAATAACCAGACTTTGATAAACAGAATCGATGACTGTGAGCCAGAAAGAGTGCGACTGGTATACTAGCCCAAGGCGTCCTTTACTATACAAGCTTGGTTTGGACATCAACAAATCTTCTGAGACATCTTGGTCATAAACTCCTGTAGAAAAGGAAAGAAAATCAGAGATTGTATAAACACTACATTCACCTACTTTCCTCTTTTCGGTCAAGATAATTTTTTATCAAACAGAAATGATTATTTTGTCTTGGATCCTGCTAAAATGCATGATATGAACTTTTAGCACATTAACTTTTTTCCAATCAATGTTTTTTTTTTTTTTTTGGGACCTGTGCTGTGCCTACTTCTAACAATCTTTCTGGTACAAATCTGAATGAAAAACGCATGGAGAGGTAAAAATTTAGGATCAGAATAAACAAGAAATTTTGAAAATTTGTGCAGATTAATTTCTGAGAGCTTTGCTTCAGCTGTCAGGAGCTCAGCTTCAAGCTCAAAAGCAAAAGATTCTGTTACTATTTAATTTATTTTCAGAATGAAGAAATAGTAAACGCATACAGTATTAGCTACGGTACAATTCACATTTTTTTAAACTTTCGATAGGTTCTGTGCGATAGTAGTTTCATATCTTAGCTGCGGCAATGTTTGCCAATAATTTAGTCATGGTAAACATTAGAACATTCAAATCACTAAGAGACAAAGGAGGGAGAAAAAAAATTACCAAGAATTAAAGGAGGCAATGATGTAAAGAATAGATTATAAAGCATAAGGTACATTTGATCGATCATCACAGTCCCAGAAAAGCCACAGTAAAGTTGAAACCAAAATATTAAAAAGACAAATGTCTGGAACAGAAACAAACTTCATTAACAAAATGATAAAAAATTTCATAATACTTGATCGGCTTTAACCCTGTCGAAAAAACCACCCTCCAAAGGTACGTCCGGGCAGAGCCTTTTTCTTGACTTCCTGTAGCAAAAGCCCTTGGTAGGAAATTTAAATGCAATGAAGAAAGTGGGTATTCTTGGGTATATAGCTTCTGAGACCAGCTTCTTCGCCATGACTATACGTAGCCACTTAAGACTTGAGTTGGTATGTTCAAAGGGATACTCTAAAAAGATTTTCATCTTTTCTTTTGAAATCGATCATTTTACTAAAAAATGTCGAGGGCTACAGAAAAATATCGCCTGACTGATAATTTTGGCGAAAATAAGTTAGCAACTTTGCCACGCTCTGCAGTGTAAAATACACAAGCTGATGTTTTTAGTTTTTTCTAATTCCACATGAAAGCGCTGTAGTGAATAAAAAAATTGCGAAGTTTCTTCTTTGTCCTGCAAAATTGTCAGTTTGCAGGTATGCAGTGCTGTTTTTCAGCCATCGATATTATCATAATTCTAGGTGGTAAATTGTATTCTGCTAAAAGAGAAATAAAGTAATGGAGGGCATCCAACAAATTCATGAAATTCCCAATTTGGGAAATTTTGTTTTTGCATTGTAATTTTTTTTTTTATTTTATAAGCTCTTTTCTCTTTTAAGGGATGTAAGAAAAAAGATAAGATGTGTGAATTCATGTCTGCACTAAATTTCCTCATTTGCTTCATTACAGTGCTCTATTTTTGACATATTGTGGGTGCAGCAACTTCAATGAAATTGGCTCAACTTTGTCAGCAATAATACCTTCATTCACAAAAATGTATTGAGGAAATACATAGAATAGATACTCACGGCATTTTTATAAAAGAAGTATAGCACCATGTGTGCCAGCCTATCATAGCACCAATGCCCATGTACTAAAAGGAATCTCTCTAAATATTTGAACCTGGACATGGAGAAGTCAGATGCCATCACTGCTTGCATCCCTTCTTGGCCTGAAATCCCAATCCCGATATCAGCAGTCTGAATCATCGACACATCATTTGCTCCATCCCCTAAAAAAAAATAACAGCACAACAAAATCCATCAGAGCTCATTTTGGGATCACAATGTGGCAACTTGCCAAAGGAAAAGGGAAAATTATTCTTCAAATCAATTTGGCGAATAAAAAATTTAAGCTTGGTTGAAATTTAAAATTCAATCATACTAGTTCACCACATAAAGCCCGATTTACACAATTCAACTTTTTAACGGACACAAGCGGATGAAAAGTTGGATGGAAAGGTGAACACAACAAATCTGATTCAGTGGGCCTGTTGCAAACTTTTGCTAGAGCAAAAATAAGAGTTAGTTCCTATAGATAATGCCCCAAAAATTACGATGAGCGCATCGGCAAAGTCTGAAATGCACTCATAACTTCACAATCTGCGTAAGAAATTTGCGTTTTTTTGAGCTTCCCGCTTCAAAAACGATACTACAGCACAGGTGAACATTTTCTTAGAGGAGTCGCTCCATCGTCGGCAATATTCATCATGGCCGACGCTTGCGCAGTTCCGCGCGTAATTGGAGGAGAGTTTGATGTCAATCAAGGCGGGTGAGGAAAATATGAACGTAAACACGCCGATTGTTATCTGGTCTAATCCTGTTCAGGTGTTATCTCATCCCATCACACGTGTTTTGGCGGATTGGTGTAGGCCATGATGAGTATTGCCGACGATGGAACGACTCCTCTAATAAAATGTTCACCTGTGCTGTAGTATCGTTTTTGAAGCGGGAAGCTCAAAAAAACGCAAATTCCTTACGTAGATTGTGAAGTTATGAGTGCATTTCAGACTTTGCCGATGCGCTCATCGTGATTTTTGAGGCATTATCAATAAGAAACAACTCTTAGTTTTGCTCTGGCAAAAGTTTGCAACAGGCCCATTACCGTTGCCATACAATATGGTCAAGCGGAATTTGAGTATCTCTGTCAGCTTCCGGTTTGCAGAGATACAACTTCAGCTGATGCAAGTTGGAAGATTTTGTTTTGTGTTCTGGTGTCAGGATCACACTATTCAACTTATCATTCGATAAAAGCGGAAGAAAAGTTGGATGAAAACACTAACTCTCATTTAATTGAAGCTTATGCGACAAAGTCATTGCCATAGTGGTCACAAGTGTCTTCAGACCTAGTCACTTTTCACATCATGAGCAAAACGTTGAATTTTGCTGCATATCAGACGACTCTGTATTCAGCTTACCCATTCACCCTTATCGACAACTGTGAATACTATTTTATCACCAGTTATGGATTAACAAATGCGGCATCAATGTTGAAGGAATGTCTCACCAATAGCAAGGGTCCGCATGTGAAGTTGTTCTTTCACAATTCTCACGATAAATGCTTTTTGCAAAGGAGTAGCTCGACAACATAAAACTGATGTGCAGTGAGTTGTTAGATCCAAAAATGGTTTCTGCAAATTGGAGCGCCGATCAAGAATGTAACTGAAAAGAGAACAAATGGAAGATATGAAGCAAAAAAAAAAAAAAAAATGGGGTCTTAGGATTACAAAATGTGGCTGTAATAAAATACAACTGAGTTTTTTGATGAGCAAGGAATCCACTCATTAGTTGGTTGAAGGGATTCTATTAATGAGTCACATACTCTTGGGGTGACTAACAAATTGAAGCACAAGTACTAATACTAAAAATATCCTCTAGAGTATTTCAAAATCAATGATCGAAAAGAGGAAATTAGATTTACAAGGCTGCCACAGAATTGAAAAAAATGAAATTCCTTAACATTTCCCTGACTTTCCGAACACATTTAGGTAAAATTTCCTGACAATTTTTTAAGTCAGATAATTAAAAAGACTTAATTTGAAATAGTTTCCATGCAAAATCTGTTGTTTGAAACATCAAACTTATTCCAGAAAGCTAATAAGGTGATTCAATAATTTTCCCCGTGACTCTTTAAAATTCCCTGATGTTTCCTGGTTTTTCCTGACTAAGGCAACCCTGGATTTACACATTTAATTTTCACTTACGTCAAAGTTTTGCCATCAACCACCAAAGCTCTGGACTTGGAGGATTTTTCGGAATTTGAGATTTGTGACTGTTGTTGTGGTTGCTGAGAAGTTTTAAAAAGTGAACTAATCAGAGCTAACTGTGTTTCTCGCATACTGCTTCCGATGCTGAAAGTGATAAAATACAATACAACTGAATTAGAAGAGCACATTAAGCTGAGAACTTAGGCTCAAGTAAGCTGCAGATCAAGATGGTGGTATATACTTTGTTGCACATTATAGATTAGAAGAAGTTCAAACATCCGCCATCAAGAGTTGGGGCAGAGGCAAATTTAACTAAAATAAACTGATGAAAATATGCAGATTGCATGTAATACAAAAATCTGCATACACGGAATCTGTAACTAGACTTGATTAAATCAAGGGATGTATATGTTTATTTTTTGGTGATAGTGGTGGTTTTCATGGTTTTTCTTGAAGACCAGCAACCTTACCGCAAAATGAATCATGTCAGAGTTTCAAAACATTGCAAAATATGAATCAAAATTTCGAATTCTTGCTGATGTATAGGTGCTGTACTTGAATATTGAGTCACTAAACATAAAGGAACAAGGTCAAAATTGAGAAACCGGCGTGCCGCTTCATTTTTGAGAGGCTATTACTTAGGTTTCCTAAGCCTCTCAGGCAAGTATAATGCAACGTTAGATGCGGAATCATACAAAAAGTAACTTTGAGAGGCTTTTATTTAACCCAAACTACATGCAAATATATTTGCAAGCTGCAATGTAATTTTTGACAACCACCAGAATTTAAAAACAGCCGAAATAGGGCAAATATGGACTCAAATTAATATTTCTGTTACTCAAATTGAGCGATCGTGATTTTGGTGTTCTTCATTACGTGCACAAGCTTGGTAGCTACTTTATTGTGAGTGTAATGGATTTTTCAAGGTTAAAGTTTTAAAAAATAGCAACATTGATTCCCAGTGGTTTTCGCTTGAACCCAAATAGGTCATTTTAAGTAGGCAACTTACTTTGCTGAGCGACCTTGACTTGATGAAGCTACTTCTCGTAGATAAAATGCTATTGTTGATTCAGCTGCTTCTTTCGAACGGGCTGCTAATTTTAAAATTTTCATTTGGGGAGTAAAAAGCTTTGTGGAATAAGCGATGTTGATGGCGGTCTCTGGTTTATCACCAGTTAAAACCCACACAACAATACCGGCTGATCTGAGAGCAGATATAGTTTCTGGGACACCTTCCTGAAGTAAATCTTCAATCCCTGTTGCACCTGAAATTCGAGTCAAATTTTACAAAAATGCAGAAATTTCAAATCAAGCACCGTCTACTATGTCTACTAATGAGAGGCTTTGAATGACTTGGATTCTATTTTGAGTGATACTGGGAGGATAATCTTACAATTAACTTTTTTTATTTTACACCCTCAGAACTAAAAAATCTAAATCAAAACTGTGGGAAGAAACCTATTGGGCATACTCTCATCTTTAGTAAAAAAACAAGACTTAGACAATCCATAGGAGGAACAAAAAATATTTGATGATGGACGTGTTCTAGTACGGTGGGTACGATCGCATAATGGCCAAAACCCTGCACTTTTTGATTGGAAATTGCCGCTTTCAGGGATCATTCTTATGGTCATAAGAAACTCTTTTAGAAGGGGAAGCACTCTGGGGTCCGTGCAGGAACCAAGATGGCGGCCGTTAAAGATGGCCGCCAAGCGTTTTTTCAGCGCGCTATATCTCGGAAACTACGTGTCCGATTTTCGTTTTCTTGGTCTCGTTTTGAAGCTAAAATGCTTCTACAGAAGTTTACCTCATAATTTTTTTCGTTTAAGGCACACACGAATGGTCATTGGGAAAATTTCGAAATTTTGAAATTTCACACAATTTTCAAGAGCGTTTAATTATTTAACACGCGAGAAAATGGCGTTTTTGCCCTAAGTAACGGCGATGGGAAATTATCTGACGTTTAATTTGATACCAAAACAATTTTTTTGCGTCAAAAAATGCACCCGCTAGAGCAATTTAAGTGAAGCGTCGCGGTACGCGGTGCGCGGTAAAACGGCGGAATACGGGCAATTAACGTGCTACGCGAGTCATACGCGCGCTATATCTCGGCACATTCTCGTCCGATTTTCATTATTTTGGGCTTGTTTAGAAGCTATGTTGAAAGTTAACTAGGGTAACTGGTATTCTTGCGTTTTTCCTCCGAATTTTCCGGGTGTTTTTCAAAAGAACAGAAAATTTTCAAATTTCCAAAATTTACAACGACGAATAATTTACCATCGGGTAGAGAAACAAACCTCCTCTCGTGTTTTGTAGAAAGATCATTCTCTGACGTTTAAAATGATACCATAACCATTTTTGTGCGATGATAAATAAATCCATGAGCTCAATTTCAAGCGCACCCCCCGTGACAAGCACTTTCCGTCGGTAGGCGTATTGGCCCGATTCATCGCCGCGCCGCGCCTAATGCACCCTGACTGGACGTGAAAACGACGACCTTGCGTGATTCTCCGTATTCTAAGACAGATTTTCGATAAATCGCGATGCTCAGAGGGTTATCTCGCTTCCTATAAAACTTATTTTGTTTATCAGAATGAATTTTCATCGGTATAGTTTGTATATACGGAGGGAAAAAGGGACAGAAATTCGTACAAATCACATGAAAGCGTAGTATTCTCTTTTGGCCTTGGGATATTTGTTGTCTGGAATAAGACGTGATATGAAATGGTTTGAAAGATCGACTAGCTGTTTTCGGTGTTTTTTCTGGGAAGTTTTGCAATAACGGAGGAAAGGTGGAAAATGATAGGTTTATTTTGACCAGAAACTTGCTTTGCACTTATTTGAATTCATTTGTAAATCGTGAGAGAATATCAACATGAGTTTGAATCCCGTTATTAATCGGCAGCTTGGTCTCTCACTGAATGTTAGGCAGCACCGTATCATATCCTCGGTTATTGAGTGCCATAAGTCAGCGATTGTGCACGTATCGTAAAGGTCTTGAGGGAAACATTTGTTTGAGATACAAAACTCTTCAGCAAAAATCATTATGATATGATTTACCCTCCGCATGGTGGTGAATTTCAATAAAAAAAACCGCATCTCCACGTTAGTCCCCCACCCTTAGCGATTTTTTTAAATTTGACGAAGAAGATTTGTTTCCATCTGTTTCCGAAGTAAGATATTTGTAATTAATGAAAGTCGGGAAAAGGAGGAAGATGTTGTTGAAGCAATTTATCTTCCTCATAGAAATGGCTAAATTGAAATACTCGTGGGTAGCAAGGAATCATATCTTGGCAAAGGAGAGAGCACCAGGGAATCTTCCCGCCTTACAAAAGTGCCGCTACGTGCGTAAATTATGGATTAAAAATTAGGAAAAGAAAAAAAAATTAGGTTCTGAGAGTAAAATTATGATGATAGTCAAACTGACTGATTCTCCAAACTCTCACAAAAATAGAATAGTAAACTGAAAGAAAATATCATCAGCTTACGCAAGGCCAGGTTATTTCGGCCCCTCTGCCACCGGAGAATCATAGGAGCGTTAAAACCCCTCCCTCCTCCTTCACCCTACAGTTCAAAAGGCTTTCAAAAGGCCTCTCTCTGAAATTTTTTGTAATTTCAGCTAGAATAGGAAGAATTTTGAGGTTTCCGTGAGGAATTTTTTTTGTTGATTTCCGGGCAATAATAACGGTGTTTTACGTATTCTCAGCTTAAACTACTTTCGCTTTCTTCAATTTAAAGAAGTTCTATTTATTTAGTCCTCTTTGACCTCTCTTGTTTGTGAAAAATCGCAGGAAAAAATTAGGAGAAATGCCAGAACAATCTCATTCCATCAGTAAAAGCCTACAAAGTAAAATATGCTAATTAGCACGACACTATGAACAAATTAACTTTTTAATCTTCTCAAAAATTAACAAATTGAAAAAAATGCAATTCCATTTTGATTCTTTTGAAGTATGCAATCGAATAATAAAAGAAGAAGAATATAGCAACTGAATGAGCAAGGGATTTCATTACAGCCTATGTGGCATGAAAAGGATAAATGCCATTTACAATATTTACGATTATGTTTCACTTTCTGATTAATGGTCGATATGAAGTAATTGAATAATTTAAATAGAGTAAAGTAAATTTTTTCTAGTTAATATTCTTTCAATTTGATATAAACAGAGGATTCATAGATCACTGCAAGTGACAGAGACGTATCACCGACGAAAGTTTTTTTCCGCCGAACAGCACTGGGGCGACATGATACTAATTTCGATTCTAAGGGAGCTAAGCCCTCCATGCCCCTTACTCAATCTACGGTCAAGATCATTAGTAGAAACTTTAAGGTAAAATAAGATAAAATTTGGCTACTTAGAAAAAATATCAGAAAAACATCCTGTTACTTGCTATTGTCTTTATAAATCATTGAAATTGGTGCAATTTTTTCGGAATGATGAAGTACAAATATTCTTTGCCATACCTTCGTTATTGACGGCTCGATTTTGTGTCAAAGATATCATAAAATAACCCCATCGAAAACGGCTAGTCGATCTTTCAAACCATTTCATATCACGTCTTATTCCAGACAACAAATATCCCAAGGCCAAAAGAGAATACTACGCTTTCATGTGATTTGTACGAATTTCTGTCCCTTTTTCCCTCCGTATATACAAACTATACCGATGAAAATTCATTCTGATAAACAAAATAAGTTTTATAGGAAGCGAGATAACCCTCTGAGCATCGCGATTTATCGAAAATCTGTCTTAGAATACGGAGAATCACGCAAGGTCGTCGTTTTCACGTCCAGTCAGGGTGCATTAGGCGCGGCGCGGCGATGAATCGGGCCAATACGCCTACCGACGGAAAGTGCTTGTCACGGGGGGTGCGCTTGAAATTGAGCTCATGGATTTATTTATCATCGCACAAAAATGGTTATGGTATCATTTTAAACGTCAGAGAATGATCTTTCTACAAAACACGAGAGGAGGTTTGTTTCTCTACCCGATGGTAAATTATTCGTCGTTGTAAATTTTGGAAATTTGAAAATTTTCTGTTCTTTTGAAAAACACCCGGAAAATTCGGAGGAAAAACGCAAGAATACCAGTTACCCTAGTTAACTTTCAACATAGCTTCTAAACAAGCCCAAAATAATGAAAATCGGACGAGAATGTGCCGAGATATAGCGCGCGTATGACTCGCGTAGCACGTTAATTGCCCGTATTCCGCCGTTTTACCGCGCACCGCGTACCGCGACGCTTCACTTAAATTGCTCTAGCGGGTGCATTTTTTGACGCAAAAAAATTGTTTTGGTATCAAATTAAACGTCAGATAATTTCCCATCGCCGTTACTTAGGGCAAAAACGCCATTTTCTCGCGTGTTAAATAATTAAACGCTCTTGAAAATTGTGTGAAATTTCAAAATTTCGAAATTTTCCCAATGACCATTCGTGTGTGCCTTAAACGAAAAAAATTATGAGGTAAACTTCTGTAGAAGCATTTTAGCTTCAAAACGAGACCAAGAAAACGAAAATCGGACACGTAGTTTCCGAGATATAGCGCGCTGAAAAAATGCTTGGCGGCCATCTTTAACGGCCGCCATCTTGGTTCCTGCACGGACCCCAGAGTGCTTCCCCTTCTAAAAGAGTTTCTTATGACCATAAGAATGATCCCTGAAAGCGGCAATTTCCAATCAAAAAGTGCAGGGTTTTTTTGTGTACCCACCGTACTATTCCAGGAATATTCTTCAAAGAATTAAGTCAAGGAAATTCTGGATTCTTCATTAAAATAGACCAAATATGTAGTATAAAGCGCAGCAAAAGTTGAGGAAATTTTCAATACTCAATTCCTAGAATAACAATAGGGATTACCCTTAAGCGTACTAAAAATTTTTGCTTTGTATTGTTTTCTTTGTATCAAAAATGAGGTCTCAGAGAAACGAAGATATTAAACAAGTTTTGCTGGCATTTTAGTGTGGAGTGGTTTGAGGAAATAGACAATACCTACCGATCAACGATAAATGGTTCTCCATTTCACTATACAATTCTCTCATTCTTCGTTCTCTTCCTTCAAATATTAACTCAGCAGTTTCATATTTTGCCAACCAATCAGCATACTTTTTAGGAGAAATCACTCTTTTTGCCATAACTAGTACCCTGAGACCTTGCCTTGCATACATATTCAAATGCTGCTGAGTCCTGAAGATGATTTGCTGCGATCTCAAATTGTCTGAAACATACAAAAAAAATTCAAGCCTCATCGGGAAAAGTGTGTAATAAATTACAGGTGAGAATATTATTAAGTTTAAAATTTTTTTCTCATTTAATCAAAATATATGTACCTAGACAAATGGACTTAATTTTGTGATTAGAAACTGCAATTTTCAGCTCGTCAGTAAAATCACTTATGTGCTTAAGGAACTAATGGTACGTACATTGTTTCTAAACTGAGTCAGTTCCTCATTGCAAAATGTAGTCCAAATACAGATAGTAATGATGTCCATTCTGATGTCCTAAGAAAGAGCGCTTTATGAACCTTTAGGCGTTGCCAAATTTCCTTTGACAAAATAGGAATTTAGTGAGACAGTTTCTAACATTTTCCCTCTAACTTTTCAGCAAATTTTGTTCGCACTTCAGTCTAAAATATTGACAAAGGAGGGGTTTTGATAAGGGACGTCTTTAGACCCACACTGAAATCCCTCAACTCCGCAATTTTTTGCTCATTGACGGACGAATCTTATTACTTGTTGCTGTTCTCAAATATAAAATCATTAAAAAACGATTCTATAACAAACGCAACTGACCCATTGCTGTGGTGCCTGGACATGGACTGTCATTCACACCTCGAGATTGAAGTTCAGAACATTGGAAAGAAATTTCTTAACAAGACATCAATAGGGAATGAAGATGAATAATAAAAGAGTTAAAATATACTTAGGTGCACCTTAGACTCTTGTAACATACCTGTAGGAGCTAGACGAGGCAACAACGTGGAATCAGCACCTTTACAATACAGGATAATCTGCCGGGTTACAGGATGGCGAATTATAATTGACATGCATTTTCTATTTGAATCAAAAGGCAAAATGTTTAAAATTTCATACTCAGCAAATCCATCTCCTGTTGAATAGAAAATTGGTACAAAATAATTAATTTTAGTTACATAATTGATTAAATATTAAATCATAACTATTATATTAAATCATAACTTCACATGACAATCCAAAGACTGTACATCATTATGGCCTTTTTATCATCTTGAGGACATGCTTTGTACAGTCACAAGAATAAAATTTTTAAAAGTTTCGTGTTTTTTTTTGTTTTGTTTTATGGATTGTTTACTAATTTTATTCTTATAATTATCCTTGACCTGTACCATAGCTAATGTGGCGCATATCTTCTAACTTCGCAAAATAAAATAAAATTTAATAAAATTAAAAAATCAAGCACTTTTCGAGACCTGGTTTGTTTGGGTTTTTTTTAATTTCAAGTTTAAACATCTTTCTTCAGACATGTCTTCAGGTGTGTTGTGCGATTAAAAGTAAAAATATTACCACTTGACCCAGCTAGAGTTACTATCGGCTTCAAAGAATGTGGTTTTTACCTGGCAAGGAAACGGTCGCTGTTGTAGGCGTTCTTTTCACAAGCCTACAATTGTACATATAGGCGGTTTCTACAAGAGCTAACTCATCCGGACTCTCTGCCTCGTAGATTGGTTTTGACTCGCTCGGAGAGGGAGACTCAGTTCGATTGTTTTTACCTAAACATAAATACATCAAATAAATGAGTACAATAAAGAGATAAAATAGATTACTTAAATTGCCAGCCACCTATTTGTGTGTTGAACGAAGAACGACTCAATCGGCAAAAAAGGATAATAAAATAACAACTTAACCTAGGGAAGGTTGCAATAAAATAGAAAAGGTAAAAAAGGCCCGGGATGTATTGGAATAATGAAAAACTCATTTTTGATCAGGGAAAAGGGAAAACCTTTAGTGCTTTTATTGCAGCCTTTCCTCAGATCAACCTGTTATTTTCTTTGTATGTACCAATAAAATTTAAGAATTTTGAAATGATAATAGAATCCATACTCCAGAGCACAAGTATACATGATTAATGGTATCCTCTATTGTAAATTTTTTCCCCACCTATAAATTTGTTGTTGGGAGATTATAATTCCACCTGACTTAGACTCCACAAACAGAACAATGGACAGAGCGAGACGATCATATGACTCCATTTCTTTCTTTGATTTTTCTGGTTTGTTCTAAGAATATACAATTTCAACAACCAGGCTGGAGACATTGTTCAGCTAATAATGGTGTATTGTTATATATATTATTATTTTATAAGTAATATTATAGTTAGGTGGTATGTATGGTTGAAAGAGCATGAGATGCAAAACTTCCACTATCCTGCAGAGAGAAAAATAATCAAATTATTACGACTAAAGAAACAAACTTACCATTTCTATGTGTGCTGAGGAATTTTTTGTTTAAATTGGTTAAAATTGCTGTGGGAACGTTAAGAAGTTTTGGCCTTATCGGTTTAAAAATATTGGCATAGAAATGATCAGAATCGCTGCCAGGATTTCTTTCAGGTACTGATATGAACTCGTTAGAGCTTTTGATTCTTATATAGTTATCATCCATGTTCTCAGACATAGATTTAAGGCACTTAAGAGAAGGTACTTGTTTATTACTACTATTATCCAGGGAGGACACTTTGTGCTCGCTCTTCAATGATTTCGTTTCGGAGCTCTGCATAGAGCAATCCATTTCTTCTTCCTCTAGAACGGAGGATTGCAGAAGCTCAGAACTAGTTCGATTTTTGTCCATGTCAGTGCTGAAATTTTGGTAATAGGACTGTAAAGGTACAGGAGAAGGGGTCACTGATCTAGATTCGGCCAATCTGTGATATCTGTTGGCAGTGTCTGAATCTTGAGACGTATCTGATTCACTTATCACAGGTGGAATTCGGCTGCTTTCGATTGGTTTTACACTTTTTACAAAATGACTTGTTTCTACAGCACCACTAGCATCCATCTGAAAAAACATGAGAAATTAGAAGCATTATCGTTTAATTTCTTAAGGAATTTTGGTCTGACAGAGCACGTGATCTACCATCTAGAGTGTTAAAAAAGTTGTAGTAAATTGTACATCAATATCTTTCAAGAATTCTACAAATATTCATGAAAATGACTGTTAATAGAACGGGAATTTTTCATTTTCGCCGTTTTAATTAATTCAGGGTGGAAAATGATCTGGGGTATCAATTTCTTTTTTTTTAAAACAAAAAAAAAAAACTGCTTGACTCTTCTTGGAAAAGTTGACCTTACGCTGCTGCATTCAAACAAGACTAGAAAGTATTGTTTTGATGAATCTTGAAATTTTAACACTAAAAGGCGATCTATTCCACAAGAGACATTTTGTGACCTTCAGAAAAATTCCCTGACTTTCAAGGTTTTTTGAAATTCTCTGGCTTTCCCAGAATTCTCTGATGGTTGCCTTTTAATTGGTGAAACATGATTTTAATAGCTTAAAACTCATCCAAGAGGAAGAAAAATATCTAAGTAAGAGATTACGTTCTCTTTAACCCTAATGTGGTTGCGCCCTTCAAACTTCGACGTTATGCATTTGTCCATGTGGTCCTCCGCGACCCAAATGTTTTTATTCATAATCTGGTTTTGTTTCGATGTTCTCTTTGAAGGTCCATAAATATGTCTAAAAAATATCCTTCTTTAATGCATTGACTTAAAAAATAAAAATAGAGAACAAATCTTGAAATTTTGCAGACATCAATTTTTCTTGAATAAAAAAAACCAAATATTATTTTATAGTTTTATGTATTTTTACTTACGATGTCATGATGGGGGTGTTTGCATACGACTACAGTGTTGCAAAGAGCCAGCACCAATAGAAATTCTCGTACACACTGAGAATGAGAGTAAATGGACGGCACCTGAGTCCCTTCTTTCCCATCGTTCATACTACCAAACTGAAGCGATTGATCCTGATTTAAATCCTCCACCATTTTTTGATTTACTTGAAGAGGTATTGAGCCACTAGTTCGCGATAAAGCTGACTGTTGGCAAAGGAAAAGATAAAATACCATGTTGGGTATGTACTATGTTAAAATGTGTTTTAAGCAGTTTTGGCCAGTTTTATTTGGAAAAAAAAAGAAAAAAAAGAAAAAAAAGAAAAAAAAGAGACAGAATGATTTGTGTGTTGTTGTTTTTCTTTGTTACGATGCTGTTTTATAGAAGAGCATGGGCCTCCGGGTGCTTGAAAACTTATTCTGACCGCATTCCTTACCATATTCACTTTTCTGTCTCCGCTACAATTTGTAGGTTGCTTTTTAGATTTCTGCTCAGCTAAGCTACTTTCCTTTCCTCTCCACTGGGCCCTTCTTTATCGACAGGTCCAGAAAATGTCCGATTTCACAAGCCTAGGATCACAGCAGACATGAAGCCTTTGCCTTTGCTCCACACTTTGTAGATGTGGAAGAAAATCTCACATTTTATGATAAAATTGGATATTTTCCTAAAAAGTCGGACATCTGGCCATGAATCAAACAGGAAATACTACTATGAAGCAAAAACGTCAGATCGCAGCAGCAGAAACTTTTTTCACTCCTGTTTACGTTGCAGAGATAACCTGAGGCCATATAGAATTTAAGTCTTAGTGAGCCAAATTCTATTTCTAAAATAGAGTAAGAAAAGTAGGGTTATAATTTGATTCTGTTTTTAAAATTGTGGACAATGTTTATAGGGGTGCAGAAAATGCCCAATCTGACGATCCTACGATTGTAAGACAAATTTTTTATTGTGAGGCAATTATCAAAAGTGATGACTTTATTTTAAAATGTATTTTCTTCTGCTAATGCTTAGTGCTTCAAAAAGGGGGATAAATAACGCATCTCACATAAAAATCTAGCATTTGGGTTTTAAATCGCACATTTGACTATATGGCAAATCGAAAAAGTGCCGTGAGGCAAAAACGCCAGCTTGCAATGAACAGTCAGCATTTTGGATATTTCGAGACCCTTGATGTTGCCATGCTCATTGTCGTTATGAAAAAATACAGGTTTACTTCATTCCAAATGGATCAATTGTCTTTAATAATAGACTGCGGATTTTCAAAATAGTTCTTGACCAATTATAATTTGCTTCACACTGAAAAATACTCACTTTAATGGTTGAAGTATGATTGTAATCAACACCCGCAATTGTGCACCTTCTAAACAGCATTTTATTTTCGGTAAGAGTTCCAGTTTTGTCCGAGAATATATACTGCACTTGTCCCAGTTCCTCTGTAATATTTAGGGCTCTGCACTCGACACGTCTCTTCACAAGGGGATCGTAAAGTTTCTCATTTCTATGAATATGATACACTTGAAGTAATTTCGTCATCTCGATTGTGACGTACAGTGACAGAGGGATCATCACCTAAAATGATATTGGCTACTATAAGAAAGGCATGATTACAGGGAAAGCTTTCGATAATCACTGTTATCTTAAAAGAACACAGAAAAGCTATAAACTTAAGCACTCATTTTTTGTTTTCTCTTCAAAATTTTTCGCAAAAAATCATTCTTGAGACACAGGGTTCAGAAATTAGTTAAAAGCAAAAATGAAAAAAATGCCATTTGTATGTTTGTATAGTGTTGTAGCTTGGGAATNCAGAGGGATCATCACCTAAAATGATATTGGCTACTATAAGAAAGGCATGATTACAGGGAAAGCTTTCGATAATCACTGTTATCTTAAAAGAACACAGAAAAGCTATAAACTTAAGCACTCATTTTTTGTTTTCTCTTCAAAATTTTTTGCAAAAAATCATTCTTGAGACACAGGGTTCAGAAATTAGTTAAAAGCAAAAATGAAAAAAATGCCATTTGTATGATTGTATAGTGTTGTAGCTTGGGAATAGTTTTTTTTTTTAAACCTTTCCTAGCGTCAATTGCCAAAAATAATTTTGAGGTAGCAACATATGTCAGCTGCCAAAATATAGACAACTACCTCTGCACAATTGGAAAACAGTTTGATTTAGCACTAAATACAGTGCTACGCAGCGAGAGAATCTCAATGAAACTTGTTAAATGTAAAGGCTCATTTTCTGCCTCAACTTTGCTTAGAATGGAGATGTTGCATGTGTGAGGAATTTGCGATTCGACTGTTGATTCTTCTGTAAAAGTTTGTGAGAAACACGATGGTGCCACTGGTTTTCTCTGAAATCAACTCCCAAGCTTAAAAAAAGCTCTCAAGTTGAGGCCAAAATGGAGGGGATATCCCACCCTACCCTGAGAGTCCACGTCTACATCAGGACAAACTCTACATGCAAAGATAGAGAGCAAATACATTGACAGGGCTGCCACTTTATTTGGGAACCCCAAAACTGAAAACACGGCATCACTGCTAATGTTTTTGCTCCCTATCTTTGCATGGAGAGTTTGTCTTGATGTAGACGTGGACTCTCAGGGTAGGGTGGGATATCCCCTCCATTTTGGCCTCAACTTGAGAGCTTTTTTTGAGCTTGCGAGTTGATTTCAGAGAAAACCAGTGGCACTATCGTGTTTCTCGTGAACTTTTACATAAGAATCAACAATCAAATTGCAAATTCCTCACACATGCAACATCTCCATTCTGCTAAGATTTATCTGTGACAATACATGAGACAACTTTCTTCAAAGTAAGTGATATTTCATTTTGTAAAAGCAGTAAAAACATGAAACATTATGAAAGATGCAGATAGATACTTACTTGCAAAATAATTATAAACGTCAAAAAAGTAAGATAGCTCTCAAGATTTGGAGAGTCTGAATATGGCAAAAAAGGAACTATCTCTAGAGGAACCTCAAATGAGGAGAGCCAGAAGTTACAGCCAAGAGCACCAATTAAACATAACAAAATTAAAATAACGACACACCACATAATGTCAGTGTTCATTTTACGTTCTAGACTTGATCGCTTATACCGTGGACCATTGTTATTTAGCATTGCCTTGGTTTCATGGCCTGCAAAAGAAAAGAAACACTAACATAAGATGATATTTATTGGAGAAAAAATATTAAATTAATTACTTTTTCATATTCTAAAAATATTCTAAAATTAAATATCACAAAAGAGGGGTTGCGGTTTGGACCGAAATCGGCCCCTCCACGGAATTGAGAAATTTTTGGATATATGGCAGTTGATGGTACATATTTGACAGGAATAATTAAGTTTTGCCGATACTCACGTTTTTTGGCTGCAAAACAGGGGCCTAAACATGGCTCCAGAGCCGACAATAGCTGAAATTTCGCGGTTCTACCTCAGATTTCAACCTGGGCCCAAAGGCGACGGGTGATGAGCTTTGAATATGGTGTCAAGGATACCTAGACACGTAACATACTTGAATATGATCAACCGTTGCCTTTGGGCCCAACTTCAAAATCGAACTTTTCCAACTTTTTAGCCCGAAATAGCTGAAAATCCATGTTTTTCGCGGTTCTACCTCTGATTTCGACCTGGGCCCAATGGCGACGGGTGATGAGCTTTGAATATGGTGTCAGGGACACTTAGATACGTAACATACTTGAATATGATCAACCGTCGCCTTCGGGCCCAACTTCAAAATCGAATTTTTCCAACTTTCAACCTAAAATATCTGAATATCAATGTTATCATATGGCATATACATTTTAAGTGAGGTACTTGAAAATGGTCAACCTTTGTCTATAGACATATGTGAAAATCCGCCTAATATTCCGGTTTTTTAATCTTCTATTTCGGTTTTTATCCGCGTCTAAATAGGACAGGTCATAAACTTTGTTTATTGTTTGTTCGGGACTTGATAAATTAATGTTTTTTTTTTGAGATCATGGCCACGTGTTTCTTTTTCGCCTAAATTGAAAGAATTATTTCATTCCTCCTCCAGTGTAACGATACATTTTTGACGAATGATTATAATTCGTAGAAACATGGTCATGAATTTTTTATTATAAAATGTGGAAAATCACTTACCCTTCAAGCAGGATCTCGAGCAGCTATTTCGGGCTGAAAAGTTGGAAAAGTTCCATTTTGAAGTGGGGCACAAAGGCGACGGTTCATCATATTCCAGTATGTTAAGTGTCTAGGGGTCTTTGACACCATATTCGAAGCTCATCACCCGTCGCCTTTGGGCCCAGGTCAAAATCTGAGGTAGAACCGCGAAAAACGCGAAATTTTAGCTATTTTCGGCTCTGGAGGCATGTTTCGGCCCCTGTTTCGGCCAAAAAACGTGAGTATCAGCAAAACTTGATTATTTCTGTCAAATATGCACTGTCAACTGCCATAAATCAAACAATTTCTTAATTCCGTGGAGGGGCCGATTTCGGCCCAAATCGCAACCCCTCCTTTAAATAAATGATATATAAGTACTGAATATACAGGGTTGCCACAGAATTTAGAAAATGAATTTCCCAGACACATTTTGGTACAATTCTCTAACAGTTGAAGATATGCTAGATGATCAAAAAGACTTACTTCTAAATAGTTTTCAGGCAAAATTTGTTATGCAAAAGGACAAGCCTATGTAGAAAGCAAGTACGGTGATTCCAAAATTTTGCCCCGACTTTTTAAAATTCTCTGACAATTCCTGATTTTCCCTGATTGTGGCATTCCTGATAAATTTCTTGAAATATTTTGATTTGGAGTCCTGTTTTAAGCAAACAGGCTATTATTTACTCCTGAGTTGCTGAGGCAGTTTAGGGTTAAGGATCTTTGCTATCCACTACGGAATAAAAGGCGGTTTCTTTCATTCGGGGGCCTCCTTTCATTCTAGGCATTCTATAATCAAGATCTGTTTACTCATTTGGTTGCATGTTGGCTCAGTACTGGAATGACTTTCCGCTGGAGCTGCAAGACTGTTCAGATTTAATTCGTTTCAGGTTTTAAGAAATTAGGTGGGCTGTACGCTTGTAAAATATTTACTTTGCTACTTAATTTTGTTGCTAAGTACATTTCTATTTGTTGTCTCAATATATTGTACCATCGTAAAATTGAATTTACCTTCCTTGTTTCCATATGTAAGCCTGTCTGTTGTATACTAAATAAATACTTAGATAGATATTCTGTTCTATTAAGTTTCAATTCATGGACAAAGTAGTTGACATTCCGTTCAATTAAGAAAAGAATCCTAAAATCATGAGAATTTTTGAATCTTACCAGCATAAACAACAATACCCTCCACAAAATCTGTGTTTTTCAAAACACATTCTCTTAACAGAAGATTGTCAGTCCCAATGGCTATTCTTTCTCCTGACGGATGCACAATTGTTCCATGGAATCTATAAATTTTTGTGGTTGGAGGGTCGACTTCAATCACACTACGAAATAAACTTGGCACAAATTTTTTGTCCTAAAACAAGAAAAAACAGAAAAACAAAGAAAATTAGCAAAACGCATAGGAATGATTTAAGTGAAACTTACTAAATATAAATCAACAGTTTCTTTTCCTTTTTTCGAATAGAAAAAGGGGTGCATTATACAAAAAAGACTTTACTTTTCATTTTTGCAAGCGGCTCTTTCTCTTTCTCTTCCTAGGATTTAATCATGTTCAATGACCTAGGATTTGGAGACTGCAAAGTGGACAGAACGACACAACAATGCAATGCTTGACGAAGTGTGGGTAAGGACAAATGATTGTGTGCAAGTGTTTTCGATCGAAAGAACAAAGCCTATTTCTTATCTTACAATAAGAGCAATACAACAGAACAAAATAGTTTCCAGAAAAAAATACTATTCGACTAAAAGAACGAAAATTACTTTCAACTGAAACTACAAAATTTATCATATTAATATTAATTGATAGATATCTTTACATGTCTATTCTTGAGTACAGTAGCAAAGGACTGTTCATATAATTCTTATTGTTGAAATAAATTAATACCAAAAAAGTAAAAATAATTACTTACTTAAATGATATGGTTGTTAAATTTTGATTAGAAGGCATGACAATTCATTACATAAAAAGTTAGGTACATCATAAAAATTAAATCGTCACATAACAAGGCTCTGGATCAGCTCCAACTCCTTGTGAGTTACATATTTTACAAATGGCCCCCCCCCTCTACTTCCCCTCCTTCCTTCCTCTTCTTCTTCTTGGCACCCTTCCCTTCTACTTCAAGTGACCTTTTACTAGGACATATTTGTTCTAAAAGGAACATAGTTCACAGATCTCACAATTTTCACCCCAATAAAGCTGAAAACACGCAATTTTTTCATTGATGCAAGCATAACATTCAAAAATGTCTGACTTGAGATAGGTGAAAGGCTAAAATTTTCCTTCAATTTTGCGTGATACCACATACCGACTCTAGAATTCGAATAGTTGCTCGCTTGATTTTCACATATGAAAAAAAGAGATGTTACACAAGTTTTGTTTCAATATGGCTTGAAGTAGGTTTGTGATATTTCCACCGGGTTTGTTATATTCTGAGAAATTACACACTTTCTATCTCGGTTTTGCAGGAAATGCGCAATTTTCCCAGCAATTTTGTAAAACATGAGAAATAATGCAAATTTCATCACAGACCATGCTTGAATTTTCCAGCAGTTGATTAAGATAATGGTACACTGGGTTTCTGCGCAACATAGTTCTTTTTAGCAGAAATACGTTTGCTCCGTAGCAAAATATTTGTAAAATAAACATTAATCAAGAATGCTGAAATACCTATGATAATTTAGACCTTCATCAGAAGTACTTACTTTGTCAGTCATCCCCCGCGGGACTTTTCTCTGCTTCAAATTTGATTCTCCATCTATATTGCAAGTATCAATATAGCATAGTCCTTGAGGATCACTGGATTTTAATAAAACAACATCAGCAGGAATGACTTCATTGTTAGATAAGTGAATAAAATCTCCTGTTTTCACTTCTTTCCAAAGAACTTTCTTATAGCGGTCTTCTTTGCTAAGAAAAGGAAGAAAAAGGAAGGAAACTTAGAAAACAGATTATTTGGAAATAAATGTTACACCAGTGAGGTAGAGAGCAGACAACACTGACCCACACACATGAACCGAAAATGAGCAAAGACCCATTCATTTTTTATTTTACATCTGTACATATTACTTTTTAGACTAAAACCAAGACATTTCCAAAGATAATAAGATTCAAGTTCTGTCATTTTGAATGTCAAATGAGTTCTAAAACTTTATGGGCAGACATGCGGTCTTCAAGTACATTTCTCATCATTCAGTCTGTACATATCTATTTTGAAAAGACTGCAGTTTCTACTTTTTCATTTTGTGGAACTTCGGTAAGAAAATCTTTGAGGGTATTAAAATAAACACCAGGTTAGCAAGTTCAAAATTGAGACCATGCCTGATCTCAGCAACTTGGCTACCTTGCGGACAGCTCATGAACATTTTTTGCTGTTATTTTAAGTTTAATAGTTCACAGATTTTTGAGAATCATCAAATCACCCTTTGCACAAATTGGCGAAATTATAAAACAATTACTACTTAAACTGAGATTTAAATGAGCAATAACTCATCGTTTGCAAGAAAAAATGGAAAGGGAGGGAAGAGCCTAAAAGAAGAGTGATGCAAGAAAAGTGTTACAAATCTGAAACGAATGCTGACTGCTGACAAAAGAAAAACTTCAGAGATAAGGAGCTAATGAGAACGTCCTAGATATTTTCTCAATGAATAATGATGTAGGTATTCATGTGAGGAGGCCTGTTTGCATGAGATAATGTTTTTTTTTTCTTTTCTTGAAAAATAAAACCATTTTTACCAAGCTACCAGATTATTGACGTCACTGTAGGGTGGAAAAATATTACTGCTCCGTGAAGTGAAATAAAGTTTATATGTATACCTTATCAAAACTCCTCTTTTTTCTTAAGACATGACTGTCAGGATTCTCACTTTAGTCCTTTGAGGATACATCAAGGTTAAAACATACTGATTACACTAAACTATTACGTGAATGGAAAAAATCACTGATGTTATGTTCCATCATGATACCTACTTTTTTACAGCAGGTAAATTTTACAGAGAAAATTGAGTCCCACCGGGGGAGGGAGATTCTATCCAAATTTTTCCCCCTATAACTCATTAGGAAATGCTTTGAACCTATTTACTCTTATTGTTTGGTTTTTTACTTATTTGTTATGTCGAGAGAAAATTGAAAATTCCAACAACTGAAAAAATCTTCTCTCTTCACAGCTTTGCTGGAAAAAACTGAATTTACAAAAGAATACCAGATTCCATAAATAGGTTGATTAGGTATATTTTTCAAGGCTCTTCTTTTTTTGAAGTTTTGCCTGTCCCTCAGTCGAAGCAGTTACCATAATATTTACAGTAAAGAAAAATATCAGAATTTTACTCACCTATAGTAGATGCGGCAGGTAGAATTATTGATGCGCTTATCACTGGCATGTCTTCTTCTATCTTCGAATAAATCTTTCACTGCAGTTACTCCAAGTACAAACATGACAGGGATCATTGCTATTTCTTTTCCAAAGGCATTAATCGAGGGGAACCAGTTCAGAAGGACAATAAAAATAAAGTAAAGATTAGCTACCCGGTGAAATTGCTCCAATAAATTTTTCGGGAGGAATGATAAAAAAGTATACTTTGTTGTGCGAACTTTGTTATCGGCAAAAGCGCCATTAGGATGAAGCTCCTTAGGAGTGTCGGGTGGGACCAAATGATTGGCAACAATGGTCCTATGCCCTGAGTCAGGATCATTTTGGAGTGAACTAGGGAAAAATGAGGACATGAATTGCTTCCATGCAGGAGTCTGGGGATGATGACGGAGCGTATAGATAGATTCAGATCGGGAGGCTTGCCGAGAATGCCCTTCCCGCAGCAAATTTCCGCTGCCCAGTAGATCATAGCTACGGTGACCAGCAGGTAGAATAAAGTCTGTCTTGGAGCCTACACGGGATCCCACAGATTTACCGATGTTGTCCACAATCTGCCCTTGAGAAAACGCTCTTTGATGCCCCTTAGTCTGCTTGAGAGCAGATTTACCAACAGGTCCAAAGGAGGAAGTTGCAAAAGTTGTGCCGCCATGGCTTGCACTACGACAATGTGTTAATTTTGAGATGGGAGGTGGAAACATATACACAGAACATTCTTGCTCTGTTGTTCGAGGGCATTCAAGAACTTCTCCAGTCAGGTAGGTTCTGCTTGTCATTGCAATTCACCTGGAGAAAGACAGAGATCAAATATTAAAATGTTGATCATTCATGCAACAAAGAGGGTACATCCTCGGTAGGTACCTAAGTTCTTGCCACACTAATAGAAAACAGACATGGCAGAATTACTAGATAATTTTTCAAAGACAAGGAAAAAATTTATTCGCAAGGAGGATTTTTTGCAGAAAAGTGGGCCCTGTCATGTGGGCTGAATTTTAATATGTTGCAGGGTTCATCCACTTGATGAATTATCTCAAGGGTACTTACAGAGCTAAAAACTAAAGTGAAACCTGTTAAGAAGCCCTAGCAAAAAATAAACATAATCTTCAGGATCACCACTTGTCTGAGATTAAATAAGATCGCTCATACTAACCACAGCAACTCTTACAACAGTTTAATTGGCAATAATTAGAATAACCTGCCCCCACCTTACATTATAGAAGGTTTAAAATTCACAGTAAAAAGGGAGGACATATCACCTACTGATGTGATCTTGAGACAAAATTTTAAGACTCAACAGGATTTAATCCTTAACATTCTTACGTATTACCATTGAAGCATTCGAGGCTAGCATTAAATTCTAAGCCGTTAAATTTTTCAATGGCCTGCCATTGAGCATAATCAAAGGACACCTCCAGATTTTCAAACATTCCAACTTTCATCAAACTTGCCAAAAAGCTAAGAGGAATGCGTACCTACCTATTGCAATGAATTGAGGGGACATTTTGTCGAGCTCTAAAGTTAGATTGATATACATTCGATTCTCAGTTTAAATCTGATTAGTGCAAATTTCACTAACTAAGAACAGCTTTTAAGATATTACATGGTTTGATGTTGTAGGATAAAACTCGGCCAGCTCAAGAAAAGTTAGGTTGTTCTAGTAGAGCATTCTGTGACGATATAGACAGCTCATCGATAGACTCGTCTGAATTCTGAACTTTCCGGGACCAAGTAATTCTTGAGAACCTGAGTTGAGTTGCCTGTTTAATAGTTTTCCCTTCAGTTGCAGAGAAGAGTACTGCCGTATAAATAATTGGATAGCAACAATTTTGAGTGTGAGCTGGGAACCACTACATAAAACATCACATACATCTAACAAGGAAATTAACACATTCAATGGAATGTCAGTGATAGAACTTGAGCTTGAAATGAAGATATTTGTCAGATACAAGGGGATCCCCATTAAAACTGTGCAAACTTTGGTTCAGATTTTGATGTTGAGAGGAAAAGGTAATGCAAAAATTAACTTGAAGTGATCGAGTTGATAAGTACGTATAAGAACCGGACAACTGAGTTTCGGAGAGTTTTCAAGTGTGAATACATGAGTTGGAAGGTTAGGTACATAACTAATTGCTGAAGAACGGAGATTTAATCTTAAAATTGCAAGAAATATTGGAATGACTCAGAAATTGGGTGCCCTAAAAACTATGGTCAGCAGAGGAGTCAAGGTACCTATCACACTCAAAAGCCCTATATTAAGAGAAATTTAGACCATTATCTATGGATTAATTGTTTGGATGGTTGGAGCAGGTTGAACAGACGAAATCGTAGAGGAATATATTTTGAAAATTGAATATTTTACTCACCATATTCAGCCACAAAAGGCTCGGGACATGCCTATTATAACCACAAAACTAATCACGTCACTTCTCTATACAGAGTACGTATAGTACAACAAGAGTACTGCTGTGTACCTGTACTGAGTACTGGGTACCTCATTTGGGTACTCGCAAGGGATAGCTCTGGACTAGACACACGAAGCGGGAATTTTCGAACCTCCATGTTATCTGGTGGGTGAGGCAGTTAGGTATTTTGTACTTCTTTTTTGTAATTAAATATGTAGTTTGTATTAAATAAATAAATAAATAAATCTGATGCGGGTATTCTTTTTCTACACGGATGCAATTTTTATGCGAGAGAGTGTATATTGAAAGTTTTTAGGGATGTAATTGTTTCAGAGAGTAATGTAATTTAAGTACCGAGAGGGTCAATTGAGCATTCTACCTCTTGTTAATTAAATAAAGGTGAGAACCTTAGTAGGAGAGGCTGTGTGGCTACAGTATTCTTAACCCTATATGGCATGAATTAATTTTGAATCTTGGATTTTAGGTTTTATTCTGGGGACTCAAATCTATGTTGTGGCTTTCATAAAAACACTGAGTTCCAAATTATTTTCCTGAAATTCCAAATTTTAGGTAAACAGTTCTTCACAAAAAAAAAAATAAAAAAACACTGATGAAAATTCACAAAACCATGTCACAGAGGAATTTTTAAAAAATAAAAAAATGCGCTATATTACTAATAACTAAGTGACACTAAGTATGCCATGGAGGGTTAACAAGTTTGTTTTGATACCTACTTCCTACTTGTACCACGATTCGAATTTTGAAATTGAAAGATGCCCTCTTTTGTATCCAATTCTCAAATATTTTCCAGAAAAAAGGTCTGCCCACAATTTGCAATGATAGTGGCCGAACTGAATTAAACAGACAGAACCGACAGAAAATCCATTCTTTCTTCATGATAAGATTTCCTGACTATATTTTCCCTGGTTCCAAAACAGTGGGATTCTCTGGCCTTCCAACAAAATTTCCTCTTAGATTGTTTCACTTCAATTGCTCTGACTACTGTTAAACACTGCTCATTAAATTCCCTGACTCTCCAGACGGTCGAGAGCCCTGAAACCGGGTCACATGATTGAGAAAAATAATGTGGGAGCGTAGGAAACAGTAGGAGTAGTTTTATGCTTAACTAGCAGCAAATTTTCTCTTGTCAAAATTTCAAATTGGTAAAAATGTTTTGAATATGAAAAAAAAGCATTAAACTATATCTCTAGTTGGACGGAGTTAAACAGAAAGGAACCAAGCCACATCGGGATCGAACCGAGAAAAAGAGGTTTAAAGTTTGGCTTCTGCATAAGACTCAATGTAAAAGATAAACTTCAAGTTCAATTTCTGCAAAAGTTGCTCCAACAAAAATTTTAAATTTTTGGTGATAGATAGTAGAGCAGTGGTTGAGTTCAAAACCACTCATAACTCAATTTTTTCCAAAATGTGGGTTGGTTCCTTTCTGCTTAACTCAGTCCAGTTATCAAGCCTTGTAGAGGGATAAAATCTCATATTTCTTCATCTCAGTTCGATCTTGATGTAACTTAGGAAGTTCCTTTCTGTTTTAAACTTGGTTCGATCGATATATCGACGGAGAAAGTCGGCAATCACATAACTCGTTTGCGGTGTCTGAAAATCTCCGCCTGTACGTCATTTGTTTAAAAGAGAACAAATTGACATTATTTCTTGAAGTTTTTGCAGAATTTTCTTCGAATGGAGAAGAAAAATCATGACAGTTTTAAAGAATTGCCGTTGAGTAGTTTTCCATTTAAAAAATAAAGTATGACAAGAAGTCTGCGACGTCGCAAACCGAGTTATGTGATTGCCGACTTACACCATCGATATGTATATCTACCTACTTTCAGGGCATAGCCATTAACACATGCAAATAAGCCAAAACAACAAAAAATCAATGAGTGGGAGAAATTGTTAGTTTTAAGAAAAATGAAAACAAACAAACTTTTATTATCTTCTTTAAGTAATGACAAAAAATGAATCCATGATCATATCACAACAAACTGGTAAAAAACCTATGAGGATTGAATATAAAAAAGGAACAAATTATAAGACACAAATATAAGACGCATTCTTTTTTTCATCCCTACTCAGAAAAAGAGGCAGTTATAATTTTCAGCAAAATTTCAAAATACTTAGTCTAAGTTGATCGCCTGTTTGATTGGAATTATCCTACTTAAAGTCACTTTTTATCACAAAAAAATATGGTGTTCTTTGAAAAACGAAAACAAAGCAGAGAAATAAGACACCAACAGAGAGGTAAATTTTCTTTCAAGCAATAGGATTGGAATATTGCTTGTGGATGAATATCAGGAAAAATAAAGTGATACTCTCGCTAATGAAAAAGAAAACAAATTGACGACTTCGCCATAAATCTAAAAAGTCATTGAATCCAATGCTTTACTCTTGTTGATTATGAAACTACTCCGGTAGCTGTGCGATAAATATCCTAATAAGATCTAATTTAAAGTCATGAAGATTTGTAGTGTTTGTCTGGAAGGTTCCGCAGTTGATCTGCAGCTTTTTCCGGTGTTAAATCACGTTGAGCTTGTGCCAGCAGCTCATAACTGAAAAAGACAAATTAAAAAAAGTTTTTAAACATCAAACATTGAATTTTTAAGTTTGTAAAGAGAGAGGTCTTCAAGTATTTTCCATCTTATGAAAGCAAACTGAATATATATCACAGGAGGGGAATTGATGCGTTTTTGCGGCCGTTTTTGGGCCCACTCTGAATTACCTCAATCCAGCGATTTTCTCATTGAAGGTCCATATTTTACTGAATGCATCAGGACTGGGCCGTTTCGATCTCTTTACAGATCTATTATTTGCCTAACATGCATCTGAAGGCCGCCGATTTTGGCGAGAAATGTGGGTTTTGAGGGCTTGCAGTCAGATGCCGAAAGATGCGCGTTTTTTGTGTGCCAAAATCGGCATTCAGACTCATGTTTATGCCAATTTTAGACCTGACAAGAGAACGAAAATGATCAAATCATGATGCGTATAGTAAAGATAGACCCATAATGAGCAAAAAATGTAAAGTGGAGGAAATTCAGCTAGGATGGGCCAAAAGACAGCCATTATCGGTACCTCTCTTTTCAGCTGACGCTTATTTTTATCATTGCAATGAAACTCCTTAAAACGAGTTTATTTGGAAAGCTAGCCTTGGGTCCTTGAGTGTGTAGGTATTCATTTCCATAGATAACTGTATTGTTTGACTCCTTTTAGGAGGTCTCTTAGATTAGAAATGGGATTTTGTTCATAACTAGCCAACCATGCATCTGAATTTGATTTTCTTGGGTATTCCTGAAAGCTGATGAAATATTGAAGAGCAGGTTGTTCAAAGAAACGGATTATTTCAATTAATAATCATTTGGTGACAGATTGAGGACAAATAAGCCAATTGCTTTGCGATTTATACTTTGTGGTCACTTCAGAGCAAAGATACAACATTAAGTTTTGAGAGAGCAGTTATTACTATAACGATGCATTACACAAATTACTTGAAAATGTTCGCAAATTGAAGCCTGCCTTTTGGGCTCAGAACTCCTGGTTTTTACACTACGACATTGCCCCTGCGCATGTTGTTGACTCATATTCGGGAGTTTAGTCAACAAAGAGGCATAAACGTAAAATGTAACATATTTATAATGTAACTTTTAGTTATGAAATTATGATGAGGGAAATACGTTAGAAAAATAACAAAGAATTCAGATCACATGATGTTTCGTCGCTTCCCGGATGAAGAAATAAAGCTCCATTCCGAGGGCACAAAATTGGTTAGAATAATTCAATTTTTCCAAGAGAATACCTGTGCAATTTTTGTTCAAGATTTTTGAGTTTTGCACGAGATCAGAGGAAAAAATCGGAGGAATTTCTGGTTAGAAATGTCGCAGATTCTTCTGGTAAAAAATTCAATTTACAAGGTGAAATTTGTCATGTTGGAATGTATACCTTCTCTTATGAGGGCAATGACGATTCATTGTCCTACTTTTTAAAATTAGACTTACCCAACCATGAATTTCTTAATTGTTGCTGAGCGTAACAAGGGAGGGTAATAAATTCCATGCAATAGCCAGTGAGAGCAGTCTTCTTGTAATTTGATACCAGTTGGAGCACCTAGAAAACGAAAAGAGGAAAATCCCAGTATGAAGAAAAGGCTCATTCTTTTAACAACCATTCTCAAACTTCCATTAGAGGAGTAAAATTTTATAAATCGCTAAAGATTAAATAATAAATACTCTCGATTTAATTCTTTTTTTTTACCAGAGACAGGTTGAGGACCAAAATCTTGGGCACTTTTCTTCCCTATCTGTTTAAATTTAAAGGAGAAACATTAACAGGAAATGAAAAACAATCTTAGAAAATAAAAAGAAAGAGAATTCCAATTTATAGAAACCCCTGACTATGCATTATGCAAAAGAGGTGACCTAGAAGTTCAAGTTTTTTTAAATGTTTGGTGAGACTTTCAGAAGAGCCCTTCACGACCAAATGACCTATCCGGTTGCGATAAAAATGTGAAGGCCGTTGAAAAGGGTTTATGGAGTATTAAGGCTGCAAGAGGGAAGAAAGGGCTTTTAAAATATGAAGGCAGCATTACTTTTTGTGAATGAAACTATCGAGTGCCTTATTCTGTCAGAGAGAAACTGCTAAGCGCATTACTCCCCGCGAAAGAAAGTGTGAACTGTGTTTTATGCAAAGAAAATAGTGAAGTGCAGTCTTGTGTGGACAAAAATGTTAAGACTGACTCGAAAAATGTGAAGGAAAACATGTTTTAAGTGGACAGCAATATGAAGGCAGCCCTAAAATATGTGTAGGCTACGTTAAAATGAGTGAGGGCTGCCTCAAAATATGTGAGGGCAAAATTACTCAAACAAAATGTACTGAAACAAAAATACTCATAATGAATGGAAAAAACTTATTAGGAGCAAGAGTTTACCCCAATTTTGAGAAAAGGGTATGACCTGGCTTTTTTTCTAGCATTCTCACGCCTCACAAGAAAAATGATAGGGGACTTTACTTTCTGAAAAAGATTCATGACTTTCACAAGAAATTTGATAATAAATGCTTACCATGAAATCCCATTGAGTAAGGAAAACTACATTTAAATAAATTGTCATATTTGATTGTGATGGCTTTCATTATTTCCGCTAGACTTTTCCTTTGAGAGGAAGACAGATCGGACAGGCGTTGAATGTGCATCCGTGGAAGAAGCAAAGTTTCATAAGGCCAGACGGCCCAAAAAGGCACTACAACAACCCAGTCATCATTTTTGACAACAATCCGCTCCTGAAAAAAATTGGAAGTTAATGTCTTTATTTTTTTCTTTTCCAATCATTTCAAATTTAGCAAAATGGTAGTATGATGGAGACTCCACTTCATGTGCTGTTCTCTAATTGGATGTTCCTAGTGGCCTGTAGCTGTTTTGCGGCCGTAAACTATAATAATATAACTATTACTTTTTATAATTTTTTGTTTTTTTGCTTATCATAACATAGAAATGCACAACACTGGGATGCAAGCGAAGGCTGGATTAGTGGATCTTAGGACAGGAGGTTCAATATCCCTTGATCCCTTTTAAAATGATTAGGAGGGTCTAAAAGAATCCTCATTGAAAGGAAAATCACGGTGTTCTCCTTAAAATTTTTGAAGCCGAGTGTTACAATATGTAAGCCCGATCACAAGAAATTAAGAAATTTACAATCAGTGCAATCACAGTCTAACAAAAAGTTTCAAAGTCATAACGATATTTATCTTGGAAAGATGACATACGTGTGTGAGATGTATAAATAAATAAATAAGTAAAAGAAGTTTTGAAGAATAAAAATGCAGAAAAACTAGAACAGTGTACTCTTTAACTAAGATTATTGCAGATCTCTCCCTAAGACCTAGGAGTCCCAGGTTTCATTTTAACAAATATATCGGGACTCAAGTCTCACTTAATGAAACAATGGTCAGAAATGTGCGAGGAAAGGGTTGATAAAGAGGGAAGTATGGAATTTGTCTCAGGGCAATACTTACCGAAAGGAAAGAAACAGACCTTACACTTATTTTGCAGTTTGTGATGTAAAAATATTCTTACTCCTGTTCCTACAGAGGGGATTTCAAGTGAGTTCATGCCTTTTTAATAAACGATTCAAACCCTCTCTGAATTTAATTAATATTAGAGGCATGCTTAACTTAAATTAGGAGCTATCCTTCCCCCCCCCCCATTTATTTTTATTTGAAAGGAGTATGATAAAAAAATAGATCCATTTTCCACACAAAAAAATCAAGAAAAAATATTACGACACCTTTTTTTGAAGTTCCTTCTCAACATAATCCAGGAGCATTGGCCTTCCATGTCTCTTGTAATATTCTCTTTGGTGATGATCTTTGCAAGCAGGCTCATTGGGAAAGAACGATGAAGCCCAGATTTGACAATGAGGGTGAGGGTTGGAACAACCCATGATAGCACCTTTATTTTCGAAAATTTGAATCCATAGAAACTCCTTACCTAAAATCAATAACTCTTCAATCCATCTGAAAATAAAATGAAAATACATTATCAAAATCAAGATTAAAATAATAGGCTTTGGAGACTTTCAGCACAAAATATGCGAGAGGGAGATCTTCTGAAAAAGCAAAATTGACGAATATTTCTGCAAGGGAGAAATTATTTAGAGCGTCCAATGTTGACTCATTATAGGGTGCCATTCCATACAGAGGATCTACCGTCATTGACATTTTTTTAAAAGATGCCTTGTTTGAGATTGATTTTTGTTGGTAGGTGGTGTTATTTGGAATCGAGAATCTTCACAAGAAATGAGTATAGCGTAATACATGTGAAGTCTAAGGCTGTCACAGACCGTGGGAAGAATGTAAATTGCTTCTTTCTTATAGATTTGCTAGATCCCATTAAAATCCTTATATTCCTCAAATCAAAATATCAATAGTTCAGTAAATGTAGGTATTTGTTTAATGATTTTAGGGATCAACATTGAGGTTGTAATGAACTGGAGGTAATTGAATTGGTTTCTGTTAGACGGGCGTAAGTCCAAAAAATCATAAGCCTTGGCTTTCGTTGATCACACGAGACGCTAGGGCCCATGAGTTTTTGGACTTGAGTTTTGGATCCGTCCCCCAGTGTCCAGATGTGGTTGAACTGGTACGCAATCCCATCAATAAGGTAAAAAATCTGGGCAAACTTCGAATTTTAAATTAAAGTAGAAAGACCATTTTTCTGGGGTGCTAACAATGGTCTATTGTCTTCATACTTTATAACCAACAAAGACAAAACAATAATTTTAACACATTCAAGAGCTTGAAAAAAAAAAAAAAAAAAAAAAAAAAAAAATGTTAAGAGGTAAAAAAAGCCCTTTACAACTGAATTTTCCCATTCTATGTCTTTGCGCCTTACATTCAAAGATAAAAGTACAAAATAGAGACAAAGCTAGTTGAAAATTCAAAAGTCTCCATCATAGAGGGAAAGAGAAAAGAGGAAAAACTGGTTATTAAATCACTGGATCATTGGATGGTGCAATATTTAAGGATATTCAAGTACATATCCGAAATTTTTCAGGCGGAGCCAAGGATTCTTTAAAACTTCAAAATAAAATTTAAAAAAATGTCAGTATGCATTTGAACTTTTCCAAAGGATCATAGACCCTTCAAAATTCACTGAATCTGAATCAAACACTGAACTATAGATGAAATTTTTTAAAATTGCTGTCAAGTTGAACAAATTTTTCTCATGATAAAATTGGAACCAAGTTTGACAGAGGTCAACTTTCATCTGAAAAGATATTTTAGAATGAAATTGAGATACATTACAGAATCAGAGATTAACTTACTTGTCGATGACGGTGCAAATTTCACTGATTGTCATCACTGGAATCGTGACATTCGACTTGGGATGAAAACACATGACTCGACAAGTCCCCCTTGCCTCAGAGATTTGGAAGAGAGGATCATCCGATTTTGGGGGTCCAGGGACATCATTTAATAAAGCTGGAAAATCGTTATTGAAAACATACGTCGATGTATACTTGGGAGTCACCTGCACGAAAAAAAAAAAAATTGATGGTATTAAGGAAAAGGAGGCTTTGAATCAGAGTTTACCTGTGATTCAGTGTTCAAAAAATGTACTGAATGGTTTTTTTTTTTTTTTAAATTTTATTTTTCATTTAAAGAATTATGTGTTCATCAATAATGTGATAAGATATAACTCCTGCCAATGCAGAGTAAAAAGATACAGGCAGCTCACTGATTTTATTTCATCATCTTGAAGTTCAACTTCAAGGAGTTAGTTATTTCATGTATGTACCTATGACCATATGAAATCAGGTTTCATGAGAGTGTGTCCAAGTTCCAAATTCACAAAGTATGTGTACGGTGCTTTCGCATAGCAAGGGTATTAAAAAACCATAACAAAGATTCCATTTCTTTCTCCATAAATGCAAACCACAGCAGAAATAAAACGTTGATCAATTGGACCAAGTTTGTCATAGAGGTTTAATATAATGGGGTTGAATTCAGTTAAAATTGAGAAACACTCATTCACACTGATTTCCCCTTGAATTGTTATTTTGTTGGAATTTGTTCTACCTCAATCAGCTAATCTTCACTGATACGATCAAATTCTCAACAATACTACATCGAGAAATGATAGTTGCTTGCAAGTGCTTTAACCTTCGAATGAGATTTTGAGAGTTCCAATTGAACAACACCATTTTACTTCTATTGCAAGTAAGGAGTAGAAATCGGGGTGTTGTGGATAAATTTCTCGATTTTACCAAAGCAATTTTCGGCTTACGTCTTCATCAGAGAACTATTTACAAGTATCACAGGTACAATGCTTCCTTATCATTTCTTATGTTTTTAAGTTTGACACCATCAAATATTTGTGATGAAAAATTTTGAAATGTGAGTACGTATGTTTGTGTACAAGATTTTTCATAATGTTCTGATGATGGCACGTAAGCCGAAAAAAGCTTTGGGTAGGAAATTTATTCACAACACCTAGAATTCTACTCCTTATTCACAATTCTTAAAAGAGTTTCATGAGCTCACCAAAATCATCCTAATTTAAATTTGGTGATAAAAATTCAGACCTTTCCAAAGCAGATGCTTATTTACATCTATCATTTGGAAGTTGACTGACCTCACCGCTGGCACGAGTGACCCCTGGACAAAGTGGATTCCTTGGATCAAATTCAGGCACCTCTTCATCGGTAGACGGTTCAACTTGACCACTCCAAGGTCTTTTTGTCCGGTGTGGAGATACAAGAACCCATTCTCCCTTCAAGGGATTGAAGCGACAATGCTGATGATCTGAAATCAAAGAGAAAATTATTGTGATGAGCAGTATCGTGAAGATCAAGTCAGGCTGAAACTGAGAGATAATCAGATTTGATATCTGATTTTTATCCACAGACAAAATAGCAAGTGAACATTTTGATGAATTTCCATGTAAATCTGGACTAAGTAATTTGATGTATCATTCTCTTTTCAGCAGAAAAAACTCATAATTTCCTTAGTTTTCAAAATCAATTGTCCGGATAAAGCAAGGAGCCCCAATGCAATCGCAATCGACTCCTGTAGACAACTGTCACTTCCATAGAACTCAAGTTTGCGTACTTGAAATAGTTCAATTACAAAGCCAAAAAGAGAGATACTCATCCTGCAGCTACTAGAATAGTACCCTCAAATACAAATTACAATTTTGAATCAAAAGCATTTCCAATCGAATTGGAGATCCCACATGAGGGGAAGTTCATTTGAGGATTTTTTTAAAATGTTGGGGAGGAATGAATTTTTTGAATAGAAAGGCTCGGAAATTTCTGCATTCCTGCTATGAATGCATGATCCGTTCATCTATCAATTTCCGAGGATGCAGGGTCACTTAAAACATGCACAAGGCGCGCGAAGGAGGGAAAGCCTCTTAATAGAAGGCTATAACGCATCATTTAATTTCCTTTTAAAATTTTTTTCTTGTTTCCATGGGAGAACTGGGGAAAAATAATGTGTACTTAAATTTGAAAATGAGAGAAAGACGCAGGCATGGTGTGTTCAAAAATTGAATTCTGGAGAAAATTTCCCTTTAATAGAAAAAATGTTAATGGAAAACATTTAAGTGGAAGGGTCAATAAAAATGTGCGCCTAGGGAGAGGTAAAAAAAAACTATGGCTTACCTTCAGTGGAGAAATCCATTGGAAAGAAAATCAACTAAAATGATTTGAAATTAACTTCTTAATGTTCTTGGAAAAACACACTGAGTAGGCACTATAATTTATTTAAAAGTCTGAGTTCAATTTAATCAAAATAATGACCGCAAATGAGCTACGTCATAAAAAATAGAGGTCAATTACTATTATCTTACATGTTTCACGTGACTGATGATAATGAAAAGTCTAAAACAACAAGGGCCACTTTATCTTATCACATTCAGGGTCTCTTGATAAGTAGAAGTAGGTACATGCCAATTTTTAGGAACTGTAGGAAGTTGAGGAAAATTAATGATTTGTATTGTTTTTGTGGCAGCAGAAAAGCACAGATGACCCAAAAATCACATTTTGCACACTTATTTTCTCCAATACTGAGCAAATTTATGAAACTGCTCCACTAAAGCAGCCATAACAGCTGTGACTGAGAGATCAAGTAAATTCTGCAAGTGATGAATGGCTTCTTCGTCTCCAAGGTCAAGTCTAAATTTATCTTGTACCTTCTTGACGGCTTTGTCTGGCTCCAGAGCAATGTCTGGAACACTAGCATCCACCATGAGTGAGAATAAGTTCAAAATTAAATTGGAATGTCTTCTTAGATGAAGGAAGGCCGTGTAGCACTGTTTACGAAACTCGTGGTAAAGTTCTGAATTAATACCACCCATAGCTTCTACCATTTCTTTGCTGAGTTTCATGGGAGGAGGAAGAGGTTTTGGATCACGGCCAAGAATGTAACCAAAATCAATATGAAACAACTTTCCATTGTTTGTTAACATCAAATTATCAAAGTGACGATCTCCTACACCCAACAGGTAGGTAATAACGCAGTAACCAGCACAGCTTCTGACATAAGTATCCATTACGTCGGCAGAAATGCCGAAAGGGCCACTTTCACTGGGGTGCCGTTTCCTGAGAAAGTTTTGAATGGTGCCTTCTGTCGCAAGAACTTCAGCAACAGGCACAGATTCAATGAATTGAACAAAACCATGCTTAGTACTTGTGGCCAAAACACGGTAAGGTGTTAACTTCAGATCTAAATTTTCACTTCTGAGAAGTTTATCCATTAGAGTAATGATTTGAAGAATTAATTGATCTTGACGTAGATCATCTCCGTGTTTAAAAATTGCCACATATTCATTATCATCTACAGTCAAGAATGAAAGACGCGAAGGCATTAGAGCTGATTTAAAAAGAATTGCTTTTTGAGGAATGATACCTTTGATGAGGACATTTGGGTCTAAAGGTAAAGGCAGAGGTTCAAAATTGAGAAAATTCATTCGAAACGGTTCTTGATTAGATAGAAGAGCCTGTAATCTATCCATTTTTTTCTTCCGATTTCCACTTTCTCTGGCTACTTTTTTAACAAGTTCCACTAAATTATCAATAAAAACTTGCTGCCTTGTTAAATACAATTGCCGCTTTTGCCACTCAAGACTTCCTTGCTTTAAAGTTTGCATAAAAATTGTCATGACAGTCATATACATTTCTCTAGTTCGCAAATCTTGCTTTACAGTAGTATCTTGATCCTCACACTCAATAGTTAAGTACCAGTAGAAGTAATTGGCTAGCGTAAAATTTCGGCAAGCTCGATGGATAAGGAACATACTCAAATCCATTTCCATGTTGGGACAATCAGTTTCTTGATAAATCTTAAAACTTTTAACAGCAGGTATTGTGCTGTCTTTCATCACTGATTCGTCATGAGCCCCACTTAGAGATGTATCAGATGCAGTATCTCTAGCCTTAATTTTTTTATATGCTTCATTTATGTCATCGAAACTTTCATACTTCAAAGCTTGGACAAGCTGAAGAAGGTACAGGAAAAGATCATCATCTGACGCATGTTGTAAACGAGTGACAGCATAGCGGCGGACAGCTGGATGTGTAAATGCTGGGCTCAGAAGTTGTAGGGCATCCTCGATGTCCATAGGAGCCCACTGCTGCAACAAATCTAATGCTTGCCGGGCCTCGGTGTTTGATCTCCAATTGACACATTCTAAAAATTTGGAGAGAGCTTTTTTGTGGTTGCATAGATAAAAACGAAATTTCCAGATAAGATCTTCTTCCTCGGTAGTCAGCTGCTTTGTTGGAGGGTATCCAATGATTGTGTGTAGCAAGTCTCTAACTGTTGCATTAGGTTTGGCATCTTTATCAGAAATTCCACTACGCACGCTTCTTGCCAGCTTATGGTGTTTATTTTCAACAAGATTCTCCTGCAAAACTTCGGGGTCAGGTACTGTGACTAGATCTGCTTGCACACGAAACTGATACAGCTCATCACCATCTTGCTCGTAGTAAACCACCGAATGTACAATGTTATCATACACCACTGTTGGAAATTCTACCATAAGGTACATGTAATTAGAGCACTTTTTCTCCTTTTCATTTATTATTTCTATCTCCCGGAAAGTCAGTCGGTCCAGCCAATCAACCTCTAACATGTGACCATTATGATGTTTCTTAGCTAATTTAGCTAGTGTTTGCTTATGTTCTTTATCATCATCCTGTGGTTTCCCGGGAGTTTTGCTTGGATAGTTTCCATCAGCTACTTGTTTTGGCCAAACTCTCAGGTCCAACATACCTTGTCTAAAGACACCATGCTTACCAAAAAGAGAAATAGTGGTGCCTCCGACTGGCATGATAGAAGCAGATCCTCCGCAGTCATAGATGGTTAGTGCAAGCTGGGCATGACGAGGTAAATCGCTGAACATGAGAGGAAGTTCAAGCCATTTATTCCAGTTCCATCTATTTGTAAAAGATTTATACGGTGTTGATATGGGTAAGGAAAGAGGATCGCCATCTGAGAATACTTGGCATACAACCATCAAGTCCGCGCATGATTGTTGATAGAGACCAGAGAATTTTAGCATTGGATCAGCAAGCATTTTATCATATTCTGGCTTAAGAATCACACCTTCCAAAGTTCCGACTTTAATTTGAATTTTGGCTTCAAGGGAGCAGCTGTAAACGTAATGAAAATTTTCACTGGAATTATCCATTCTTGAGAAATGCTCACACTCGTAGAGTTCCACTAGCGTTGGATATTAAATACGGTAGAGACGCGGTAAATGGGCGATCATGACATGTTTCGACGCGTCAATTTGATAAAGTTACGAGGAGAGAAACTTTAAACACGCTCAAACTATTGAAAAAATTGATAACAACACAGCACGAAGGAGCAAAGAAGTAAAATCAGATCAGAATCACTGAGGTTAGGTTAGGGTTGGAGCGGAAGTGGCCATCTTTGATTTGATTGTGACGTAGAGATGTAAACAAAAACAATAAAAGTCTCCGCGAAAATTCAAAATTTACCCGCGTAATTTAACCCTCTACTGCGTGGAATTTTTTTGCGACGCCGATTTTGATGAAAAAAATGTATGTTATAGAAAAATGTAATTAAAAAGACACGTCTTTGTGCGTGTGTGTGTCTGGAGTCGAAAGTTCATTGATTACTTCACACGACCAGTGTGTAATTTTAAAAGTGGAAAATTTAAAAAAAAAAAAAAAAAAAAAAAAAAAAAAAATGATGTACGAGTTTTTCCGCATGGAGCTCTCTCTGGTATCAATAGTTCATCACCTGCCCGTCAGGAACGCCGAGCGCCGCGGCGCGCGTGCTGCTAGCGCGAAACACGCGCACTGACGCCTGCAAACCTACAATGCTACTTTCACGCATTGCGCAATGTTTGAAGTATCCCTTTAGGTTTGTAGGCGCCAATGAATGTTTTGAGCTGGCAGCACGCCCAGGGTGGCATGTAACGTAAGAGAGAAATGAAAGATTGGAAATTTCAGTGAAATATTTCATGAAACTTCATAAAGCAGTGAAATATGTCATATTTTTCAGAGGCTAGAGCATGCAACCTGCCCTCAAACACACCTAAGATGAAAAAAGTCACGAAACAGGAATCAGTATTTTTCAATATCTTTCATATTTCATGAGGTATTTTACGTGAAATTTCAAGATTTTGTTTATCATGAAATTTTGCCACTCTGAGCAGGCCGCGCCGCAGCGTGCCATAAACTTGCCACAATTAATAGGCCAGGGTGTTAAAATTTTGGCAATTTGACATCAAATTCGAAATTAGCGACTCTAAAAACGTCAGTGATGAAACTTTCGTAATCTTCCAGCCATTATCCGATTTATTCCTTCCAATTCTTGAGTTTTGGACCACAGTGCGCCGCGGGCGGTGGCACATGAAATTCTCTTCCGTGCTCAATCGTCAGACGACAGGTAAACAACCTAGATTATATGGATTACATTTTGCAATAACGAACCACTATCTCTGACTCTTCCTAAAAACGCATATCTACATAAGGAAACCTATGGCACTTATATTGTTTCACAAATGAGCAAGAAATAGTGGTTCCTTATTGCAAAATGTAATCCATATGTTGCACTAAATATTCGAGGAAAATCTCGACGACTCTGTTACATGATCCGTCCATAAACTTCAACTGGAAAAACTTTACTCCGGGATGAAAAAAAATTCCATTTTTCATTTTCTATACTTCCAGCTTTCACCCCGGACTTTCGGTTTTCACTTCCTGCTTCCAGTTCTTACTCCCTGCTGCCGATTCTAACTTCCCACTTCCGGTTCTCTATTTCCTTTTTCTGATTTTCACTACCCACTTCTGGTTATCACTTTTCACCTCCGGTTTTCCCATTTCCGGTTTTAGATTCATATTACCGGCTTCACTGCATAATGCCGGTTTTCGCTTCTTTTTTTCGGGTTTTATTACTTCCTTTTTCAAGTTTTTACTTCCTACCTTCGGTTTTCTCTTCCACCTCGGAGTTCTCGCATCTTCTTTCCGGTGTTCACTTCCTACTTCCGGTTTTCGCACCCTATTGTCGGTATAAGTATATTTTCCATTTCTGGTTTTCAACTTCCACTTCCGGTTTTCACCTCTTCTTTCCGGTTTTCACTTCCCATTTATAGTTTGCCTTTTAAAAAGACCGGCTGGATTTACGAGTTATTGCTGTACCCGTGCTAGAAATGCCAATATTATACCTACCTCCTTCCCATGTAGATCCTCTATCCTCCTTTCCTCTCCTTTAACCTCGGAAACTCCTTTCGAACAGACAACTATTCGAGCTCTCGTGTAGGTTTGTTGCCTACACAGCAAAGTTGAAGGCAACGCGCGAGTGGTCGATACCTGACAAGATCGGCTCTCATAGTATACAGCGAACAGAGTTCAGTGGTATAGTAGCGAGATAAGGGTGTGCTTTATGGATAGTTAGTTAGTAGGTTAGTTAGTTAGTTATTTTATTTATAGACATCCAGCACCCTAGTCTATTAACGTCTTTACAAAGAATTTGGAAGATGGGTGTATATACAAAAATTTATGTTTTTAAATTACGGGAGGAAAAGAGTTTCAGTATTTGGTTGTGACATTAGGTTCATCGCATTTTAGTGGGTTTGTATTAAACTCTCATGTTGGTGTGTTGTCAATGCAGCGAAATTGAAGGTGATCTTTGAAGAGACAATCCCAACCAATATGTTCACAACGTCACCCTGGTAAAAATTGGCAGTAGAAGCTGTGTTCCAAAATACCATAGACGTACAGCAGGCTGGCAAAGTTCAAATAACTTTTTACTTTTGGGGTAGCCGAGATTTTAAAAGTGAAAGTCCTCAAATGGCATTCCTATATTTTTTTTAAGGTCTTTATACCCTCTAAAGGCATGATTTAGTAGTAGTCACGAATAATATGCACTAAAAATATTTTTTCATTTACCGTAGACCCCACTCCTTTTGGAAAGAGGCTACGGTAATGATGGCTACGGTAATGATAATTTATGATGAAAGTCGGTGTATAATCTAGTTGCATTGGTGGATTCCGCTGTAGTTTTCAAATTGAGGTTAGGTCTTAGTATGCTATATAAATCATGCACTACTTTAATATTTCATTCATTCCTTGACGGAAAAAAGTAGGTATACGGTAATGAGAATTTCAAATTGCCAAAATTTAATTCAGCAGATAAAAACAAGAGAAATTATCTTTTAATGAAGTTCAAAATCCGGACAACCCAGCCATTGTGCCTTAGACGGTAAACAAAACACTCCGAATGAATAAGTGATCACAGACTGCGTTCTAGCGGCGGAAAAGTGCCGCTAACAGGATCTACGGTAATGATGCGAAAATTTTGTTACATTGCTTCCGGGTGGCGTAATTTTATTGCTATGCTAAACTTTGACATAAACACCAAAAAATACTCTTTGAAATACATCTTGGCTGTAATATTTGCCAAGGTTTTATTTTTTTTGGGCTTGAATCTTTTGAAAACCTAACATAAAATTAATGACCTACAGATTATTACAGGCTACGGTAATGATTTTTTCGACGTTTTTGAGTTTTCCACTAGAATTTTTGGATGGAAAATATTAAAATATGGCAAAAACGAATCAAGGACATTGTTCAGTACACAATTTTGAATAAATAATTGACAAACTTCTTCTCCTTCTTCTAATTTTGAACGAGGTACAGAGGGTTTACACGAAAAGTAAAAAGTTATTTGAACTTTGCCAGGCTGTAAGATTTCCAATAGCTTCTATAGCCGGCTACACAATTTCTTATAGCCTTTTATAGCCTTTGGCTGAGCAACAGCCAAGCGATAAAGTGTATGCTAAATGTTACTAATTACGGATGCTAGGACTGTTTTTGGATTACCGCTCCATTTTTGGGCCGTAGTATCTTGATTTATTTTGCGCGGAGAGCTCCGTACTTTTGAAATATTCCTGCCATTCCTAATATGTTGGAGCGCCTTCAATTTCGTATGATACTGTGCAATACCTCTGGTGTGAAATAGTTGCTTCAAGCGCCGTGGCACGCTGCGGCGCGGCGCGGCGAGCGGGCAGCCAGCGCGAAAAGCGCCTTAGCGCTTACAAACCTAACAGGGATACTTCACGCATTGCGCCATGAAGTATCCCTGTTAGGTTTGTAGGCGCTGGTGCGCGCTTATCGCTGGCAGCACGCCGCTCCGCTCTGTGTTAGGCTCCAATATAATCTTGCGGAGTCAGCGTTTTTCAACTCATGATTTTGAAATGTTTGCACATCCTGTATGGATTATTCTCATTTTAATTGATGAAAAAAAAATATGTAAAAGGAAAATATAATGTATGTTTTGTGAATATTATGGTGGGTCCGTATCAAACTTAATGATTTCCAAAGCACACAAATTCCTACACAATTTCTTATAGCCTTTTATAGCCGATGGCGATAAAGTGTAAAGCCTGGCGATAGGAGCTATAGCCCGACTGTATACTTTTTTATAGCTGCGTATAGCCCGGCCGTATGATTTGCTCTGCTTTCTACAGCCAGCTATATGATTTTCTATTGCCTTCTTTAGCCGGCTATAAGAATTCCTATGGTATTTTGAAACGCAGCTCCTATCGCCAATGTTTACCAGGGCACAAATGGGTTCCTTCAAAGTTAATAAAGCTATATAAATGGAATGTTCTCAAATAGACATAGTATTCGCTTTATTTGTTCTAGGTACCAGGTTTATTAATTGCCAATGCAATACAATTTAAGGCAAAAATCTAATGAACGTCATCTATCAAGAAAATCACACTTAAAACAGACGGTGAGACCGCAAAAATGCGTATTTCGGTTGCGGGATTTTAAAAGCGGCTCCCATTCTTTTTTATTTATAATGAGACCAAACAGACACCACGACTTGAAATCGTCCTAGATAATTCTTTGCTTGGATATGAGGAAAATCCCTGATGTTTTCAAGAAATGACGTTTCCATGTAAAAAATTAAGCATGACAGGAAATCTACAACTCAAAATCTACAACAAATCAAGTATAGGTACGCATTTGAAATGCGGCATCTCTGCAGATCCACCATCGACATCTATTTAGTAAAAGCATGAAAGGCAACAAATTCGTTATCATTCCAAGATAAGTATAAAATACTAGGGGGCTATGCCCCCTGGCCGCTACGCGGTCCAACCCCTAGAGGGCAATTCTCGTTCTCTTAGGCCCACGTCGACAAAAGAACGACCAAAAAAAAAATGAAAAGATTTTCATACCCGACTCTCATTTATCCAATCTCCCTCTGGCCGGGAGCGATTGGACCTACAGGAATCGTAGGAAAAAAATCGTCATTTATTTCGAACTTCACGCCAAAAACTTAAACGAAACGGAACGGAGCGTTTCTTCGCTTTTGGATATAGGCTGTAGTAAAGGAGCATACCTTCGATTCACTTACCCTACTGACAGACCAAGATTCAACATTTCCCGCTTCCTTCAATTTTCCGCTAAATTTGAAATCCCCGTCATTTTTCATTGGCGGGAATTGCAAATTTTGCTCCCCTCTCTAAGCTTTATGGTATCCTCTAATATAAAAAAACTTGGGTCCTATTTTCAAAATCTGATTAGAGCGGGATCATCTAGAGACAATTGCCTGTCGATCGCCGCAAACATCATGAAAATCGGCCCGGTATAGCACGCTGAAACTAAACGTTACCAGATACGCCAATTTAGGAGGTCTCGGAGCTCATAGTATAGATGACAGGAAGTCTATAGCGTTGCAAATGGAGATAAGTGGTTCCTCAATTCGGCCACCAATATGTGAGAGTCTCTGATGACAGGGCCGGATCTAGGGAGTGGCCACATGGGCCGCGGCCCATGGCGGCAAATCTAAGGGGCGGCCAAAATTTGCAATTTTTGAAAGTTTAGGTATAAAAAAAATCGGATTTATAAAAACAAAATTACAAACGATAAAAGGCGACAAAAGCTCTCATTTCCTGAGAGTATAGTAATTTCTAATTTTGTCGTCTCTTAGTGATACAAGAGACAGCACCCTCAATAAGTCGAGTTAAGAGAGAAACCAAGCACCCAATTTGGCCTAGAACGGCGCGGCGCAGAGTGAAATGATGACGAGGACTTGAGATTGAAAAGGAAAGCCCTCGGCGCGGTGGTCTGCGCGTTACACATATTAGCGCCTACAAGACTGCATGAATACTTCACGCATTGCGTCAAACACAGTGCGGTCAGCAGCGGTCGGCGGGAAACGCATGGCGCCTACAAGAGTGCATGAAAACTTCACGCATTGCGCCAAATACAGTGCGGTCAGCGCGGCGCGGCAGCGGAAGTTAAAATTATTAAACCACACTTATGTTTTGCACTTTTTTTTGCAAAAAATGTGTCCAACACGAGTAAACGTGTCTTATGCAACCCGCCCCCATCGGCACATTCACTTGATGGTTTTTATTAAAGTTTCAGAACGAATGAGAATGGGGCGGCAAAATACAGGCGGCCCATGGGCGGCAAGTAGGTAAATCCGGCCTGATGATCAAATGGATTAAGAGTCTGATTCAATCTACTTTCTTATTTGATGTAAATATGATTTATCATGAGAATTATCAGGAAAAACGGTCTTACATACCGATGGTCCATGAGGCGGAATTGAAGGAGACTTGCATATGGACAAAAACAGTCAAGAGGCTTACGGAAGGTTATGTAATTGTTAATTTTCCATCAATTTCGTCACGTTTATACGTGCCTGATATGGTATAATAGATCGTATTCGATACATCAAACGAGTGAGATTGTATCGATATCGATTAATTTAAAACATAAACGTAGCCTCAAAAGTCAATTGAGTAATCTGACGGAACGGGTTTTTTGGGGATGGATTTTAGATTTGCATGTGTTGGCCAAGAGTAGTGAAATTGCTCCGAAATTTCTCACTATCAACTTTTCTGACAAACATCATAAGATTTTAGTTTGAGGTTATGTTCTATTATTCTGAATCAAACGATACATCGAATCACTATCAAATACGATCCATGGCTGGATAAACAGAGCTTGTACCCTAAAGGAAGAAGAAGAAAAAGAAAGAGAGTTCGTGTATCGTCGATTGGTTCTTCCAAATTACACTTAAGCGCATGTTTTTACGAAGTACCTGGAGCGAGATGTATGTAAGCAATTGAAAAAGATACCTATTCGCGCTCCCAGATAGACTTGTAGCCTATTCAGTTACATTGAAGGCGACTCGCAATAGAGCGATATTCACATTTCGACGATGAAATTGGAAACACGTGTTTATCGATTGCTGCGATTCAAAATCAACGTTCCGATTTAATGTTTTAAAAAGAGGTCAAAATAACATCATCACTAATAAGTTTCAAAAACTATTTTGCACGCAAAGACAAAAAAGTTTTCAAGAAGAAATGTTGAGGGAATGTACATTTAGAAAATAAATTATGGCAGGAAGTCTGTATATGTTACAAACTGAGGCACTGCCCCAAACCGAACCGAGAATAATGCTCAATAAAAGTCACGGGAAAACACAATTTTTTACCGGTTAATCACAGTGTCTCAAAAAAGAGACTTCAAATATCGATATTTTTTTCTGTTTCAACCTTGTGTGAAATCACATCATTAATATTTCAATACAATCATCGATCGGTCGAGGAGCGAAAAGAAACGGGAATCGGCCGAAAAATCGTAAGATTTTATTCGAGATCCCTCAGTTCGCTTGTAAAAAACCACATTTTGGTATAATATTCGGCCAATTTTCAAGTAGGATTACATCCAAATATATTTTGACTTGGAATTAAAGAGATGAAATCGAAAACAACATTGATCGTCATTTTGATACTTCGATTATCGTGTGAAAATTTGCATTTTTCGTCATTTTTAAGCATTTTCGGCCGATTTCCATTTCTTGCGGTCCTTGCGTTCGGATGCGTCTATTGAAAAGTGGATACTTCGATTTCAGACATCATAAGGTTGAAATATAGAAAGAAACATTTATAATTGAAATCTTCATTTTCGAGGTACTTGGATTGTCTCACGAAAAATCGCATTTTTCTGTCGTTTTTGAACATTTTTGGCCTCGCAAAATTACGAACTTCTCCTCCGTACTCGGAGACTCGTATTTTTTATCAAAGGAAGGTACAAGTTCGATGTCATTTCGAACTTTAATTTTAATTTCTCTATTTTTTCTTGCCTCTTATATACTAGCACCCTTGATGTGACGACACTTGTTACAGCCGTTCCATGTACCCTCCTTAATCTAGCCCTGAATCACATGCATCAACGGAGGTTCCTTGATCAAGAACAAAACCAAATTTTTTTACAACTCGTCCATTGAACCAGATTCAATTTTGGGGCCTAAAATGAGATATTTTTTCGGACAAAATCGGAAAAATCAACTACATGAACCAACGTTAATATTGAGCGAAAAAGAGTGGACGATCCTATAAATAATCTGTCCTATCATCTTTTACTGCAGCAGTGTGCTGCCATCGTTTTTCGCCTTAGCAGTGAATGAAGGAAAGTTAATGCGCCTTCAATTGTCTAGGATGCAACACACGTCCGTTGAGCCCGAACAGTTCAATCCAGACGTTGTTATCAAAAGTCGCGTCCTTTCCCGTTCTGTCCCGTCGTTCAGTTTTGTAAAATTAAAAGATATTTTCGAGGAAAAAATTATTCAACAGGTCTTAAAGTTAACTGGGAACTTATATGTTTTCAAAATAATATTTTTGGCCGTAAAATCTTTAAGTTCTTCCGGCAACAATGGCCAAAAGAGAGGGTAAGAATGGACATCTGAAAGGCACATCCCTTCTCTTTTTCATGCAGAACTGAAAACACATTGAATTCATTGAAGTTTCTAAATCTATATAAAAAGCGAATAATTAACGTTCACAGTTTATATTGCAAACTGGCCGCACTGCAGCTTGAGCTTTGGAATTTTCTTACTGCATGAGGAAATCAGTGGAGCCTTTGCGTTTCTCGCGAAATTTTACTGAGGACCAATCACTTAAATCGCAAATTCCTCGAACATCCACGAGCACCATTCATTCATGAAATTGCTTAGGATGACAGAGAAATCTTACAATGGGACGTATTTATGCTAAAAGGAACTATGCGCAAGTGGAATGATGGGGTGTGCTCGTGCAAGCTGCACAGGACACAATGTAAAAGTGGATATGGTTCCTTTTGAGAAAATGAAAAAGCGGGATTTGCCATTAAATCAAAAGGAACTGAGCGCTAACTCGTGAGCCTTGGATATGTCACAAGAGCGTTGTGAACAGGGCTCATGAGTTAAAGAGTCCCGCCACCGATCTCCCCGTCGTGCCCGGGCTCGATCGTCGCCGCAGACGTCACTGGCGCTTTTAAATTTCTATTCATTCTTTTGGCCCGAGCGCTAACGAGCTTACCCCATCTTTCCATATGCACATACTTCCATTTCGAATGAATACGTCCAATAGTGATCTCCAATAGAGTGCTTGCATGTGTCAGGGATTTTTTATTTAAATATTTTGTCTTTTGGAAAATTTTGCGAGAATCACAATGGCACCACTGATTCTCTCAGAAATTGATTTCCAAGCTCAAAAAAAGCTTTCAAAGTTGAGGCTCTGATGTAGAGGATATCTTTCTGGCTTTTCTGGAATTCGAGTCCCGAACTCTCCATGCACAAATAGGGAGGAAACACATCAGCAGGGGTACAATCTAGTTTGAGGACCAGTACTCGAAACTCACAGGCGCCAACGCGCCAAATGCGCCTAAAAAATGAAGGTTCTGCGCCAGCGCGACCCCTATAAATTGCCCCCTAAAAAAATGAATTTTCATATTATGTGATAAATCGAAATTTTCAGCACTACAAGTGAAAGCTTTTTCTATTCTTCACGATTTCATCCTTAGTACTTTTGTCTTCCCCAAGTTACAGCTCCTTACTAGTTCTGTGACTAAAACATCTCGCGTTTAACTTTTCACTAAATGCGCCGTAATATGTAGGCAACAAGTCAATTTGGCCCCTAAAAAAGCTCAATGGCGCCTAAAAATCGGGCTCGATGCGCCTCGTGGCTCCTAAAACTCAAAGGTGAGTTTCGAGCACTGTTGAGGACTTAGTGGTTTTTAGTTTTTAGTTTAGGACTCTACGTCTTTGGTTTGGCACCCTGTCTAGCGGTCCATTTCGTTGTTTCATGTTTCCGACGGCCGACTTTGATGAAGCGTTTTCATGGAGCGGCGTGGCGGCTCGGGGCTCGAGTTAGGCCGTGGTTTCAGCTGAAAGTGCTCGTGGCAGGGTGCCAAGCGTGCGCTGCAGCGGGAAGGGACTCGTGAAAACGCTCGCCAGTCGAAACGGAGCAACCGTGCAACACGGAGACGGAGAGAGCCGTAAGGGCCCGGAAAGTGGCATGCGAGTACAGTTTCGGGTCGGTGCGTTTTGTTCAGTCATTACGACCAACACTAGGCGCAAAAAAGAATTTCACATTTTTCCGTGAATAATGAATGAATTACTATTGGATGGAAATGTTGCGGTGTTTTCCTTGTAGACGAGGACGATGCTTCGTATAGATTCATCGATCGGTTTAACGGAAGAGAAACGTCAACTGATCCTATCAAGTGTGGTTCGTCCTCAAAGGATCGATAAAAAGCAGCACAGTGTTTGACTGATTTCATATTTTGTCTTCAGTCATTATTTGTGTTGAAAGAAATTACGCGAGTGCATAAACTTAGTGTCAATCTGCTGCCAGTGTCGGAAATTCCTTCATCGGCCTGCCTCCTCTATTTTGAAGTTGTCGTGAAAAATCGGAAGACTACCTTGATCTCAACTGATACCACTACGATGCTAGTTTTACAACTACACGATTTCCAATCAGACTTAGACACCGGGTTCCCAGTTTCATATTGTGTCGTATAATCGCGGGCTTTTTTAGCTTTCATCTCTCTTTCTCCCCTGGTGTCACTTTGAAAAAATCATTATATCCTTGCATTCATCGTGAAAGTGGGACGATGCGAAAATTTAAGATAAGGAAGAGACCGAAATCCCACCTCAAGTGTCATCGCGTGGGACTTGAACCCTAAACTGTCAACAGAGGCGTTGAAGTCACGCCGCGCGTCACGAAATCAGCGAGTCCATCGGGATGGAGTCTTGTGTAGACTCGCCGAGAGGATCATTCAGGAGCTCGGAGAAGAGTCCAGAGCGACTGAATAGAGCCTTGCTCAGAGAAAAGGAATTCCTCGACTTTATCACCGGTCTACCGGCCATGTCGCCGGAAAGCGTGTCAAACGCCGCCCAGAAAGAGACAGAGATGCCTATCTCGACGGAGGCGCAGTCGGGAGGACTGGAACACCTGGAGCAGCTCCACCGGCTCATGGAGCACTTGGGGCAGCTCAAGCGGCAGAACTCCAAACTCCAAAAGCGGGTGCTCTACCTGGAGAGCTCGGACCGCTCGGAGGATGGCGAGCAAGGTGGACAGGTGTTGAGCCGGGACAAGCGGAGCATCAAGTCCAAGTCCTCTTACTACGGGAACCGCTCCGTGGTGCGCTCGCCGAGGGAGAGGAGCAAGTCCCTGGCGACCCCATCGTCGCGCGAGCTCAAGGCCATGTCCAGCCTGGCCAAGTCCCGGGTCTCCAAGTGGACCAAGGTGAAGGAGGCCTTCAAGTGGGAGAAGACCTGCGAGAACCTGCCGGAGGCCAAGTCGGAGGACTCCGGGATCAGCACCGGCGAGGACTCGCGGCATCTCCAGGTGCCGCACCCCCACTCGGCCAGCGACCACTCTCATTCCTCGGTCAGCGTCAGCCCCGCGGATTCCGTGCTCAGCGGACACTTCAGCTACGATCAGCTCACCGGTGATTTCGTCGGCAACCACCGAGCTTGGTCTTCGTCCGGGGAAGAGTTCGAGCATGATCTCCAGTCCGGCCTCGAGAACAAAGGTAAACAATCTCACTCATCAACAGATGCCTTCTTTGTAGGCGACAGGCGAAGAGGAAATCCGCATTAAATAGCAGACTGTGCACGTAGAAAAAAACTTCAAGCATGGGACCCGAAGTTGAGGTCCTATGGATCCCTCAAGTTTTTGGATGACGTATCTAAAAACCTGAGGTCCAGCTGCCCAAGTTCGGGTCAGACATGCATCGAGGCACTTCGGTTTGTACCGGAGTACTTCAGATGTGTGACCCGAACACTTCGGTAAATATCGGAGTACTTCAGATGTGTGACCCGAACCCTTCGGTAAATATTGAAGTACTTTAGATGTCTGACCCGAACTTCGGCAGCTGGACCTCAGGTTTTTAGATAGGTGATCCGGAAACTTCAGAGATCCATATGACCTCAACTTCGGTCCCACGCACGAAGTTTTTTTTCTCCGTGTGTGTCCGCCTCATCTTCCCGCGCTTGCTTTTCAGCCGATCAGACACCCGACCCGACGACCTCTTTTGAATTCCTCGTGGAAAATAACATAGGGAATTAAAACCATTTTATTTTAACATTCATGCAGCCGAATTTTCGGGAAAGTGACTTATTTCTCGAGGATTTGGCGTTTCTCTTGGTGTGTAATACATTCCACTTTCTCCAAAATAACACCCAAGATCTTGATATATGAAATTTCAATATTATACCACTTGAGTCAGTTGGGTAGTCAAAGACATTGATCCAAGTGGAGGAAAATTTAAATTTCGAAAATTAAGATCTTTGGTGTTTTTTCGCAAAGAAAGTTGAATATATTGCACGCCAATAGAAACGCCAAATCCTCAAGAAATCAGGCATGGATATATTTTCCGCTGAATTCGACGAAATGTATGGTTTTGATTCCCCATGTTATTTTCCATAAGGAACTCCAAAGTGGTCATTGGGTGTCTGATTGGCTGGAAAGCAAGGGCGGGAAGATCAGCCACTCACTTTTGGACTTTTTGCGGACTCTTATTTTCTCTTTGACAACAGGCTTCGCTTGAGAACCTACATGGAAAAAGTGCAGATATGTCGGAATATGGATCTCTTAGGGCCAAAAAAGGCAGCTAACTTTCTAACACGAAAAATACTAGACAAATTTCGTATACATTTCTAACAAGCATGTTATTAGTTCTACACCATTGCAAGTAGGTCTTTTTTCAAAGCTCTCAATGTAAACTGGCGACTGGCCGTCTTAACAATATCCATAGAACAACTAATATGAATGTAAACAAATCGAAACAAAAATGAGTTGAGTTAAAACGTTGTGCTGACACGTCACGTGGTAGTAGTTTCGGCTTGGGTTGGGCAGGGGATAAACTACCAGGTAATCTCATACAATGAATCTGTCTTGTGTATTATGAGCGCACCTAAAAATCATGCCTCATTCCCTCACACTCTGTGCCTCGTTTATTTGAACGAATCGTTAATTGCCCTCCCCACAAAATCATACATCGGCAGATGCGTGAATTATACATACCAGGAAATAAGGAAATACCAATAACGCGTTTGAATCGCCTTCAATTTACGAAGTATACAACCTGCGATGTGCACCTCATTTAACCCATCACCTTGAGCGCTAATTCGACCCTGAGAAAAATTCACAAGACTATTGTCGCAAAGTAACCAAGTTAGTGAAAGCATGAAGAGTTTTTTGCAATTACATTGGCCAGGACCGGAGTCAGAATTTCAGGACAGTGGTTGGGACTGGATGGTCGGTTTTTCAGAGACTAACTGAACCTCCATCGTTATCCAAAACTAAAGGAAATTGAACTTTGGAATTACTTACGATGGTTTTCTGCTCAAGAAAATGATGACCATGGTACAGCTCTTTAAGGACTCAAAAAAGAGGGAGGGCTCACCTCTATTTAAGGAGATGGGAGTCGGAGGGAATTAATTCGTCGCCTACCTGACATAAGGGCGTAACTATACTCTGCAATGAGCCCTGTTTTTCATACAATTCAATGCTTTTCCGGGCTCATCTCAATGTGAAGTTACGCCCTTTGGTCAGCCATGCGACGAATTGCAGTATAACGTTTTAAAGTTTCACCCGACAATTTTCAAACGTGAGCGCATGTTGTATGTATAGTATCTTAGTAAATTCTCGGCACGTTAAGAAAAAAACAATTACAAAAGATTTCATCGGAAAAATAGCTGTTCTTAAGTGAATGAATCATTTTTTTGGTGAAACTTTGAAAACTTGCGATGCAAGTGAGCCCCTTTGGTTCTCACCCTTTCATTTCTCCATCCATCGCCCCCCCACCTTCCAGCTATTGCTCGGCATATAGACATACCCTAGCTCCGATAAAAATGTCCGTTAGAAACTGTCGAGATGCCAGTTAAACAGTTTAAGTTTGTGCTGAAATTATCAATGATGTGCGGTCTTGAAGTCTAACCCGTGTGAATCAGAGGCGTGGCGTGCTTCGCGTTGTATCAATTGGATTACATTTTGCAATAAGAAACCACTATTTCCGGCTCACTTTAGAAGCAACATATATGCCATCAATTTCCCTATGTAGATACGTGCTTTCATGGAAGAGCCAGAGATAGTGGTTCCTTATTGCAAAATGTAATCCAATTGATCTGCCATCTACACCCATGGAAGAGGATCGATAAACAGGGTGTTCGCAAGGAACCCCTTAATAATCGATTCTTTGCCATTGCTTCAAATGGGAAATTATCGATAATCGATTCACCTCGCCACTTGTGAGAGTGTGTGTGTATGAGAGGGCTGATAGGAATAAAGCTCTTGTTAGCGCGAGGAAATGCAGGAGAGCGGGATTTTCGGAGATTCGGGCGATTCTGAAAGAGGAGCAGATCTCACGATGCAGATTATGAACTCTCGGAAATAAATATGCTCCCCGAGAGAAGCTTCACGGACTATTTCTGAAAACCGCCCGCCGCGCTGCGCCGCTCTTCGCGCTAGCACAGTGCTTTCGTCCAAATTTGACCCGCGGTTCAAGAAACGTCTGACCCAAACGCCGCTGCGCCCTGCCTCGTGCCCCCAGCCAGGCTGTTATGTCATATTTCGACGGTGAAACTACCAAACCACGTATCTCGTTTGCGGTGTTTAAAAATCTACGCTCACATTTTATTTTTTTGAAGTAGACCAAATCAATATCATTCCTTGAAATTTTCACGGAATTTTCTCCGCACAAAGAGGAAAAATCACAGAAATTTTCAAGACTGGATGTTAAGTAGTTTTTCATTTAAAAAATAAAATATGACAGGAAGTCTGCGACGTCGCAAACCGAGATACGTGGTTTGGTAGTTTCACCGTCGATTTGCGGTAATCCATAAAACTTTTATCCAGGCCTCCTTGATTATTCCATCGAAGATTTTCCGTCATCAGGCACACATGCCCGAGTCCTTCATTTGAAATGGTGCTCATAATCAGTTGAAATGTCCAGTAGAAAGTGTCCAATGAGAATAACGTCCTACTTAAAATGTCCACTTACAAGAATGACCAAAAAAATGTCCATGGTTAAAAAAGTCCGAAAAAAAATGAATGTCTTAACTGAAAAATGCCCTACAAGAAATATGTTCCAAGAAAAGACTCGTCCATATCGTTGAAAGAAAATGTGAAATCGGGACCTCCAACTGCCCAGTTTTCAAATTTATTGCGTTAATTCACACAAGTCTTTCATATTATTTCGTATTGGAAAATTTTTAAGTAAGACAAATAAGATATTGGCTTCTTTTATTTCGCATTGTAGTTTATGGACATTTTGCGCTGGACAAACAATGTTTGGGTAGGTATTTCATGGTGGACATTTTTGCTACTTAATTGGACATTTCCGTCTGTCACCTTTGAAATGCCAAACGGGACGGTGAACTAGGGCCGGATTTATAATTTTTGGGCTCAAAGGCGCAGTCTGTCGTGAGGTTCCCCCATAGACTGAATTAGTGGCTTCACCATAGAGCAATTATAAAAAAAAAATACACAACCGTGTCTCTGATTCGCCATAGAGGAAAAAGAGGAGGTGTTTGCATTTCGGGCATATTGGATTCCTTTGATGACGTAGGTCGGTATACGGACGATTTTTATCATCGATTCTCCTAGAAATGGTGTAATTTAATGGAAAAAGTCATTCTATATGAAGTGGGCTTGACTGGGCTTCCCTTGACTTCATATTCACGAAGTCAAGGGAAAATACTAAGGTCATATTGGGAATATCCGCTCATATTGCCATTACGGTTGTTGATGGCGAACTCAACACAATGAGAGACACGCATTGAAGTGAAATAATTAACGTGTGTTCCTTGCCGAACAGAGCAAAAGTGACAAGGCCCTTTACGAGCAACAAGTCGTGCTCCGAAGCCGCTCATATTGCCACCACGGTTATTGAAGGCGAACTCGGCAAAATGAGAGACACGCAGTGAGGAGTGAGGTGAATAGTGAACGTGTATTCTTTGGCTCATTGCGGTTATTCCTTTTCTTATTCACTTATCATTATTCTTTAGGAGTAATTAAAAAATTAACTGCATGGAATGTTGGCTAATAAGCGCGTAATGTAGCGTCCCGCGCGATGCACGGGGGACCCGCCAGTCGAGATGGAGTGCAGGTGTGATATGTTAAAATGGCACGGCCACATGCGAGGTCTGCAGTATGCATGAATCATTGAACCCGAATACTTAAGAGCAAAAATATTGCGCGTAAATTATAAGTAGATTGCCACGACTGTCCATCTGCAACAGACGTGCCTCCTAATTGGTGTTCGCGAGATCCGTCTACTGCAAACTCCGCCATTCAACGAAGGCAATAACCCTAAGGAAATAGGAGAATCGCCCTGGGGAACCAACCTGCGTTTTCATGAGGAGTATTGAGGGGAGAAGTCTAGTCTAATTTCATCTTGTCTTTCGCAAAATAAAGAGGAAATATTCATGCATTAGGTTGGCAGCTGTATACTGGAAAAGAGCATGAGAAGAGCTCTCACGTTAATGACCGTTTATCGGTAAATGGTAAAATGCGCTTGAACCCGGATTT